TTATTGCAAATACCCATAGCATAGTATAAATAGTTTTCTTGTAAATATCAATAATGTGTTAGAAAATGTACATAAACTTTTGACACTGTCTGTTTGTCAGTCGTGAAATACTTGGTTCAAGTTATATTGCCAGTTGTTTAAAGCTGTCATCGGTTGAATAGTTTACGAAATACTTTACTCTGCTCTCGTGCCAGAGAACGTCCTCTGTTTTTGTTGCCTCAGGCTTTTGCCAGCCACAAAATCCTGTTTAATTTCTCAACAGAAATGTTGATGTTAAACAAACTTATTGCTTTCGAGTAAATTGTCTATAGTACAAATTATAATCATCGCACTAAATTTGCATTTTAATTTCTACAGATTATTTTTTAATCATAGAGGAAGTGTGCCGGTACCCTTTTTTTTATGGCTCATAGATAACTGTCAAAGTAGGTACTATAAATTGATTCTATCAACTAGAAATATTTTATTAAAAATTTACTGAAGTAACCATTTTTATTGAGAAAAAAATTTTACCCGGTTATGGACACCCTTGAAGAATCCAATAATTTATGTAGTGCTGATATTTAGGTCTAATTCATAGTTCGTGTTATAACTAGTGATTAACCATCGTGAGTTTGGCCCTTTGATTACTTTAAAATTATTACGACTGTAACTCTTGCATCTCGAACAGTTTTTGTTTACTCGTTGTTCGGTATTAGAGCAATTTATAATTGTTTCTGCCCTCTGAATAAATGTAATTGTAAGTACAACATTTTAAAATTCACAGTTCTTTGTAAAAACACTTTTTAACATCAAACATTATTGTAACCTTTTTGATTTCATTCATTTATATTAATAAATTATACAAAATTTATGAAAATAAAATTCTTCATTGAAATTTTCATATACCAAAATTCATTTAAATTTAACAACTATAAGTGGAAAGGCAATTATTTAATAGTAAAATAAATTAAAAGACGACCCCCGTAGAATCGATAGAAAACAAACGTTCTCACATAAATATAAATGGTCAAGCTGTACCACTTGACTGTAATCAGCCTACCATTCCTCAAAAATTTTAGAATTGATTTTATTAATTAAAATTAAATTCAATCTCGCCTTACACTAAGGATGTAACACTTTAAACATAAATTGCCTTAAAAATTTATAAATATTATATATATATATATATATATATATATATATATGTAAAACAGTTGCCACGTATTTAGCCACATAAAAGTTGATGAAAATTAATATATACTTTGAATCCAAGTATATAATAAAGTGAGCAATAAAGAAAGATAGATATACATGGGCAATCATTAAAATAATTGTTCGTCACAGGCAGTAAAAAAGTTCCAAAACGCAGACGCTACAGAAACGACTAAGTTTAACATACATAGTTAACGTTGGAGTTGACAGGAAGAGAAAGCTAGTACTAAACCTGAGAGTGAGGATGACATTAGCCGACAAGAGTTCTAAAGAGATTTATGAACGCAGATTTCAGAATACATATTTGCCCTGCAGAGAAAGCCACAGAGCTTGAGTTTTACAATTAATGACTCTACATAATCTTCAAACGAAAAATTTTAAATAATACTTCTAATGTATTTATTTTAATATATTCCAATTTTGTCTCATATTGTCATTTTCACATCTATATGGGCAAATCCACAGAACTGGCCGATTTTTACTTATCAAGATGAAAATTTTCCAAATAGCAAGCACACCTTTTATTTATGGTTTACTTTCTTTAAAATATATTCAAGAACAATTATCTTCTTGCGTGATTCATTTTATTTTAATGCCGTTTGAGTTAAAAGCCAAAAACGAAAATATTATTTTTCTTCTGGTAATTATAATTAAAAATGGCATTTCTTTGTTTTTTTATATATTATTTGAAATATGTGCAAAAAATTTTGAATAATAAAATATGATAAAATACAAATAATTAATTTTTTAATTATCAAAAATAAATTATTTATATTTTATCATATTTTATTATATATTTTATTTATTAGCATTTAATTTTTTATTTCTGTAAATTAAATTGTTTACTTACTAATTTTGATATTAACTATTTTAACCAACAAACTGACATTATTGACATCGATTTTGATATAACTTTGAAAATAAAACAAATGAAAGGATAATTCATTTTTCACGATTAACTAGTTAAATTTCGATAAATTTTTTTTTATTTTTAATTTTTAGACGTTATAAATTGAAAATATAATTTGGCGTTTGCATACAAGAATTATAATAATGTCTTTATATAATCACACATGTTTTCAACTCATCATATTTTATCCTGTAGTTGTGCTACTGAAAAAAGGCTAAGTTGAAAATGGTTCACGCTTAAACATAGAGTGATAATTATTGGAATATTTTCTTTAATTCTGATTGCACTCTATTCTATGATACATACATTTGTTCGTCTGTTCACAAGCAATAAGCTCCAATTTGAAAAATTCAAATCGAATAATCGCCGCAAAAGATATTTACAAAAATGTATAGACATTTCATTATTATAAAATAACTAGCGATGTATTCCTCGCTCGGTTAAAATTGTACTTATTGTTGTTTACTTATTGTAGTTTATGTATATTATATATATAATTTATGTTTTAAATTAATATCTTATTAATATTGTATAAAATTTATCTTAAAATTGAAAAAAGATGTTACATAAAAATAGTTTGTAAGATTTTCTAAAAGCATATATGCAAAGTATTTTGATTTATTTGAAAATAATTGAAAATAGATTTTTCAAGGACGGTGTCGAGGTCACGGGGTCGGTGTCGTTTTTCGAAATTTGTTAACTTAATATAATAGAAGATGTTTCGTTTTAAATTAAGAAATGTTAAAATTATTAAGTTAAAAACATTTGATTTTAGTGACACTTAAAATTAGACACAATATTATAGGTTACTAACTAAAAATTGAAAAAACAACAATAAATAATAAAAAATAATAATAAAAAATTGAAAAAATCAAAAAATTCTTAAAAAATTGCAAAATAACCCTTTTTCGGGATAAAATTGCAAAATAACCCTTTTTCGGGTTAAAATTGAAAAATAACCCCTTTTCGGGTTAAAATTGAAAAAAGATGTTACATAAAAATAGTTTGTAAGATTTTCTAAAAGCATATATGCAAAGTATTTTGATTTATTTGAAAATAATTGAAAATAGATTTTTCAAGGACTTTCAAAACATTCTTCAATAAGTAAACTATAATTCACCACAGTTTGGAATTGTTCGGATCTATGCCGAACAAGTTATACCTATAAGAATTAAAATTTATACCTGGAGTAACACCGTAAATTTCATTTTTTAAGTTACTTAATTCGATTTTATTTTTTATAAAAGACTAGAAGGTTCACATTTATTCAATTTTCTTATTTCAATAGGTTCTCAGAGATATGACAAAATGGTTGAAATATGAAAATAATTAATATAATACTTCTAAAATAGAAAAATATGTGAGTAACATGAAATCGGCCGGTTCTGTGGATTTGCCCATATACTTTATCTTTCAATGATTCTACTATTCATTTATATTTTTATTTTCACATTCATGATTAGAAATTAGTGGAATTGAAAATGAAAATATGAGTGAAACTTAAAATTAGTGGAAGTGAAAATGAAATTACATAATCGACCCCCCGAACATCCTGGAATATTTTTTCCATTCACTTGACTTAAAATTAAATTTTCTTTTTTACTCTTCAGTTAACGAGTAAAATTGTTATTCATTCAAATTGATGAGCAATAATTATTTATCTGTATCGTTGAGAGGTATAAAGGATGAGAAAGTATATTGCATTTATATATAGAGAATCAAAGTTTGAAATCTAAAATAGTTTCATTGAATATGGTCTATTAATCGCACTGTATACTATCACAAGTATTAAAGTTGAATAATCTTCTCAATGCAGTTGTAATCGAGCAATGACTTAACGATTAAACTATCTCGTTATATGAAGAATATATATTGCAAATAAACGTATCTTTTATTGCATTGTCAACTATTATCCGCACGTTTATAAATTCATACCAGACTGTTAACCAAATTGGTAATCATAAAACGAATAAGTATTATGGCGTCTTTAAAATTTACGTCTGTGTCTAATATTTTTTTTTTTAAATTATTAGTTCAGTACAAGGTTTAATTTGTTTGTAGCTTCATTTCATTTTGTATATTTAACAGTTCAAAAATATAATAATGACAATATTATATTATACGCCAATATATTTTTTTATTATTTGTATTTATTTTTCATTACAGTTATAACAAACTGGAAAGTTGTATAATTTCTCGATGTTTTCCAACAGATAACACATAACTAGAACTAAGTGTAGTTTAAAATGGTAACATATCTGTAAAGAAGTTTTGTAAGTAAGCTTTAAATTCAATATATTATGTCATTCCGGCAAATTGGAGAATTTTACGGCTGTGCTTTATTAAAAAAAAAAAAAAAGCTACAAATAAAGAACACAGAATTGTTGAGTTAAAATTTACGGCAACCTTCTTATGTCATAAACAATATGGAGAGATTGGTTTAGATGTTTCATAATAATTTTTATATTGTTGAAGATAAAGAACGCACCGGCTAATCGAAAATGTTTGAAGGTGAAAAAATGGAAGTATAAATTGCTGAAGATTACTTTCAAATTGTAGCTATGAAATGCATTGTTTTTTTTATTTCCATTATTGTTGATATTTTTAAAAGCAAGAAGTTTTTGTGTTTGTTGCATCTTTTCATATATTAACAGAAACGTTCAACGACAGAAGGGGGGAGATTTTTTTTTTTTTTTTTGCTCCCCTATCATGACTAGCGATGAAAAGTGGATACGCTATGACAATTCCAAAGTGCGGAAAATAGTGGGGTAAGCTTGGCCATGCATCAACATCGTTGGCAAAGCCGAATATCCATGATTCCAAGCTTCCTGTCTGCATTTGGTGGGATCAGTTGCTGGTAATTTATTATGAGCTTCTCAAACCGAACGAAACTATCATGGAAGATCGCTATCGAGTACAATTGATGCTTTTAAGTCGAGCATTGAAGAAAAAAGGACCACCTAGACAGGGTGGGACATGAAAAAATGATTTTTTAGCATAACAACACTTGGCAACATATATGTTGTAAAAATCAGAGAAAAAAATAATTGGAAATGCTGAAATTAAAAATCCTATATCATACCTAATGTATTCATCAAACATTGATCTTTCAACTTATCACCTGTTTTAAACGATGACACATTATAATTGTAAATCAACGATCGACTTCTAATCAGAATTTTTTTAGTGTAATACGGATAAATAAATAATATATTTGTCTCAGAACCTAATAATTTTTTTATTTGTCGTAAATAAAAATTTTATTTGTCGCATAAATAAAATTTATTTGCAACAAATAAATATTTATGTGAAATAAATAAAAATTTATTTGGCTTTAAGATAAATATATCTTTTCTCTGGGTGTTATATTTTTTGAAGCACTTTGTCACAAAAGTATTACGATTAATTCTTACAAGATTTTTTGTGTTCTAATTTTACATGTTTTATTTGAGCTATATACTTTTGTGAATCCATTTTTTTTTAACAGTACGGATCACTGACATTTTGGTTTTACTTTATGAAAAAAAAAGTTTTCCTTTACTTGAAGAGCCCAATTAAATTTTTTGATAGAACCTTTTCTCGAGGATAGATCCTTGAATATTTCAAAGTATATTCGAGGATATTGCTCTTTGGACATTTCAATTATTTTTACAATTCAGTTAACAATTAACTTAACTTTTAATTTTATATGCGGTCTACTAGTTTCTATTTTAACTGAATACATGGGTATGCAGTGAGGAATTTGCAATGTTTGCGTTTGTAATAATTTACGTGAACTTTTTTTTCCCTTTACTCAATATGAACCTTGTAAATTATTTTTAAATAAAAATATCTATTGATTGCCAGAAAGACTGTTTCTATTTTTTCTTTTCCATAAAGTAAATAAGAATATTCTTTTCTATATCCACTATATGTCTACCTTTTTGGAAAATTACCAATTTAATTCATTTTCCTTGGCATAATCTAGATATTGGCATTGATTCCTCTCTAATTTCTTTAGAGATAAAATATATTCTCTTCAATATCAATAAACTGAAAAGATTTATATTCAAAAGTATTTAATTGCATTTTCTATTTTGTTAACTTGGGAGTGATTAATACACCTTCGTTATTAAATACCTCAGGCGAAAAAATTATTTATAATTTTTGAATAGTCAATTTAATTATTGAATGAAAAAATATTACTAAAGCAAAAATATTTCTAATAAATGCAATTATATTGGATTTATTTTTTTAATTTTAAGGATATTTACAAAATTCTCATACGTTTTCAGGAAAATTTTTGATTCATTATTTATATTTACCATTAAAAAAAATAATGCATAATTTTTTAATAGATTATGCATTATTAATTTTTAACTTGTTACTAGATATAATGACTATTTAAAAATTATATTTAATTTTTTCCGCCTCTTATCACAGAGTGATAAATTTGAAATTTTTATTTAAATGGAAAAATGCTGTAATAGATGAAATAGGTTTAGTTTTCATAAACTTTCACGTCTAACGCGTACTTTTTTTTTTTTACTATGTCACCAATTCCATCGCAAGTACTTTTTCCATGGAAGATATAGCTTAAAAAAATATCACTAAACTTCGTTTTATATAAAAGTCTTGGAAACGACATACAAAAAATGCCTAACATTCTTTTTATCCTTACATTGTGATGCAGCAGCATCAGAAAAAAAAAATTATTTTATCATATCCATATTTATTAGAATTAGTATTTAATCGAATTTCTTTATTACATAGAATATTGTAAGTTAAATTAATTTTTCTAGTCGAATTTTGATTTGTTCGATTTAACATCGATTACGAATTCGTAATTAGTGATCCCAAAAACACCCGAGTAACAAAACAAAACTCAAGAGAATTTAAACGGTTTTTAAAAAATTTGTCCGTCATATTGAATCCGCCATATTGAATTTAGAAAATCTGACTTCAAATTCGTAATCAGTAACCCAAAAAAACTTCTAAGTGGCTAGTTGTAAGCAAATCACGATTATGGAGGATCGCTTTTTACTATAAATTCAATGATACGGTTATGCGTTAAATACAGATTCCTCGCATCCGTCTATTAAAATTTATCACATAACAATCATTACATACACATCCGCCATTTTTCGGACAAAAAAAATAACCCATCCGCTCTGAGGGAAAAACAAATACAAACTCCTTGAATGATATCTGTTAATATTTTACAATTACAGTAATTACCCTACCAATATATACAGACCCCTTGGAAACTCAATGAAAACTTATTGGAAGCGCATTGAGGTAATAAGTTGTCATGGAGTTTCCTGTGAATTCCCAATAATTTCGTATATAAGTAGGATGTATATCTCATTTATTAGATTGTGTATGTGAATAGCATTCAGTTGAGCGACTTATAGAAATAATTTTGAATCCATACCCTATGCTATAAAGGACATAATTTATTAAATCTTGCGTATCCTTAAGAAATTAAATTGTAAAAGATTTTTGTGTTAACGAAGGTGTTTAAATTTAATATGTTATATGGACTTGAGAGAAGAAGAAGGAGAAAAAGGAAAAGAAGAAGAAGAAGATGGAGAGAAACGAAGTGTTACGTGCGTGTTATATTTGGAATAGGGATAAAACCACCCTCGAAGGCCCATTGGCAAGCAGAGCACGGCCAATGAAAATAAATCAAGGCTTTTCCTGGTTCTGCAGTGAAGAAGCAGCAACTGCGGTGAAAGTTGCTTAGTTCTTGTGAAATAAAAAGAAAAGATGAATGGAAAAAAAAGAATATAACCCTCGTGAATCTCCCTAACACTATGGCTTATACTTCTTTGATTCATGGACTCTGTTAGAGATTGTCACACTTTTTTTTTCAACCTAACACCTATAGTATTCGAATATATATATATATATATATATATATATAAAATAATCACACAAAATTCACTGTTTTATTGAAGTTTTCATATTTCAGTTTTATGTTTGTTTTTCAAATTATTTCTTAATAAATTACATATAGTATACAAAGTTTCTAATTAAAAATCAAAATAAGGAGAAATTGTAATTAGAATTAAGTATCATAAATAAAGATTAATTTTTATCGAAAACATTTAATAATAAAAAAGAAATTGATGAGTTAATAAAAAATACAATTTTTATTATACCCATACTAAAATAGCAAAAATGTATTCTTTCGAAATATTGTCAAGTGATAACTGCAAATAGTGCACTATATACTGTGTAAAGTATGCAGAAATGTGATATAAATTAGAAATAGCAGTAAATCAAGATTTCTTAGTTTCCTGCTGAATCGGTGCAGAGGAGTTTCTATGCAACAAAAAAGATGACAGATACACTTTATGGGAATATCTGACAAAAGGGGTATGATATATGCACTCTGACTATTATCGTTTTCATTGGAAGTTTCAAGACTATTAGCGAAAAATGCTTTTCGAATTAGGAACGTCTAGAGAGTTTATTTTTTGTTCATTATTATATTTGATAAGTTTCTCTCGTTTCTATAAACCTGGATAGAAGAAAAATAATATTAGAGACAATAATTCATTATACTATATATATAAAAGAAAAGAAAAACCGTATATTGCATCGTTATATATATATATATATATATATATATATATATATACAGATTATAAATATCACAATTAAAATTTATTATTGCTCTAAAATTAATAGTACTGCGGTTTATTTTAAACTCCAAAAAAAAACTTCAATTGTTTGAACTTGGAAAAATGAAAAAAATAAATAATTCTCCTTCTGTTTATATTGAGAATTGTATTCGAAGATATTTATTTTATCTTCATATATTTTTATTTTTCAATATTGAAAAATACCGCAGTTATAAATGCTGAATATTTAAAGCTCTAGTTTTTGTTCTATTTGTACTCTTTATAAAGAAATTTTACCTACATTTGATCCGTAGGTTTTAAAATTCATTTTTTATTACAGAAAATCAAATTTTTTTTATGATGGAAATGAATATATATATGAAATTAATAATAATTTATAATAATATTTTTAGAAATTATTATAATTAATTTTATTAATTTTTACTTTTTTATACACTTATTTTTTATTTATCGGTCAACAACAAAAAAATAGGTTTTTCTTGTCTTCAAATGTGGTATTTAAAAATAATTTTAGTTTCGAAAAAAATGTTGTTTTAAATAGTTTTTTAAATTATTTATAAAATGTTAATTAAAAAAATGTGTTTTTTATGTCCTATGTAAATTAAATTTTTTTTATTATTCTTTATAAATTTCTGTGTATAAAACCGTTGTGAAAAAATGATTCAATTAGAAAAAAAGTTATTTATTAATAATTATTTATTCGAATAATAATTAAATGCTAACATTATTATTTATTATAAATATTAATTAATAATAACGTTTAATGAGACGTATGAATTTGAATGCTGATTGCATATTGTGTTTTCAATAAAGAATATTAATTATTCAATTATTACATAATTACATAATTGAATAATAATTAATTATTTAACTTTTTTACATGTATGATTGTTTTCTCAACGGTTTTACGCTGAGAACTGTATGCGGAATATAAAATACTTTTTAAATTTTACATAGTACATAAAAAAGATTGTTTTTTATTAAAATTTTATAAAATAAACAAAATTAAAATACATATGATGTATTCTACGCCAAAGTGAAAGTCCATCTGCAATTGCATCTCCGATTTTTTTTTCATTTATTACTAATTGAGACTAGCTTCCATGAATTTTTTCAAATTTTTTTAGCAACCCATTTTCGAGTTATGGAATTCTGGAAAGTGGAGAATTTTCATGGCTCTTAATTTTTGAATTCTTATAACTTCCTTAAAAATGCATCAATTTTAAAAGTTTTTTTCAAAATGTGTGTTTTTAAACGGACTTTTCAAAAAAAAATCTAATTTTTTTTTAAACGATATTACTATCAAATTTTTGAGTTTTAATGATAAAAAGTCATTTTTCTCATTTCACGTAATGGTCGATTTTTTAAAAAATTATTTTGCCTGATAATAGGCAAACAATTTTTACAATATTTTTGGAATTTTTCAAAAATTTTTGAGTTTTGAATTTTTTAAAAATATTATTGGTATTTTTTATACTACGTACTTTTATGTATTTTGATGCGATGATTACGAAAATCATAGTGACAATACCCGAAAATTTGATTTTTTATGGTGAAAACCATAAAAAAAGTTCCAAAATTTATGGTTTTTTTCGTTTATTGTGTAAAATATTCAAAATTGAAAAAAATGCATCAGATATAAAAAAATGCATTTTAATAAGATCTATAACTTTTGTGTGTTTATAGGGCCCTCGTAGGTCTAAATCCGGCCCTGCAGTTTTGTATTTTATTTAAATTTTAAAATAATTGCAACGAATGGCAATATGTAGTATAATATATAAGGGATAATAAATAAAAGATAACGAAGTTAATGAATTAGTAGCAATTAATTAAAATACTAATTAACTTAACTTATTAATGAGAAATAGATCACACGAATAAAGGAAATGAAATGGTACTCTTAATGAGATTGAAAACATTATTTGTGATTGTAAAATTATTCTGCTTTAATTAAAAAGCTTTAATACGTTTTAGAGACAAGAAATTGAAAAATAAAAAGAAAATCTTTTTGTTTTTTGCTTTCAGGTAAATAATGGAGCATGGAGTCTTCCAGGATTTGTGTGCGACTTATATATAGCAATGGACGTGATGTGCAGCACGAGTTCGATCTTTAATTTGGTAGCAATTTCTATCGACAGGTGAGTTCTCATTTTCTTCCTTTTGATTGTCGACAATAGAATTTTATAGGCCAAATTTTTAAAGTTATCCAATAGCAAAAAAATGAACATTGCAATTTTTAAAGAATTATAACTATTGTATAAAAGGGTGAAAAAAAATTGTGACCTATGTAAAGTACGAAATATATAATTTGAACATTTAACTTTATTTTATCAGAATTTTAAAAATACAGATACAGAATAATAGTGTACTTTACATTGCGTCTGCCAAACAACTGAAACTTTAAGGCACTCTCACACCTTCTTGGCTGCCTGCAGATTACCATGGCAACGCATGAGAGTGAGTGCGACAGAAAATTTAAAAATTTGAATATTCAAATTTTCTGTCTCACTCACACTTGTGCGTTGCCATGGTAACCTGTAGGCAGGCAGGGAGCCAAAAAGGTGTGAGAGTGCCTTTATGCGCAGGAAAGCTCCTTCTTTCTTAACACTTGCGCCATTTACAGATATATATCGGCGTTATTTTAAATTTAAAAAAGTTTTTTTTTTAAATTAAAAATTTACCTCTTTTTATAAAGGTAAAAATACAATAGTTATGATTTTAAAAAAATTTATTTTTCATATTTGACCAAAATTTTAATCCTCTTTCCCCTATACAGTTATTGATAAAACTTATTAATAATTTATGGGTGAAGTACTCACCCACAGTACTAAATGTTGTTTAAGTTACAGCCCAATCTGAATAAGAAATTTTTTTTTTTTTTTGAATTGGTAAACATCAGAAATTTTAATACTTTGTATATTAAAAAAAAGAAAAAGAAACTCAAATGCTTAACTTCTCGTTTACAGTAAATTTTTTATTTAAATTTTTCATCAAAGATATTTTTTGAAATCATTTTTAGAGTTAACTTTTAGTGTAGGGAATTATTAAAAAAAAAAAATAATAATAATTTTCAATCAATTTAATGGCGGGATTTATTTCATAGAGAGGATATTTAAAAGTTGAATTTTTTTAAACTATATTCTTATAGAAATGGTAAATTTTTATTTAAAGAGATTTGAAAATAAAAATGATTTTCTCTCTTCAATGAAAATAATATAAAAACCCGTAAAATTTTCTAATAACGAAGGCGATGCTTGAATGAATTAAATCGATGTACCTTGCCTCTTCAGAATTCACCCTTATTAAGCTCTTTATATACTTCCATTAACTCTATATATCTAACGAGCGACTAATTGCTTCTTCATATATTGCTCCATACAAGCATAGATGAACGTGTTTCATCGAAAACTTCACATTTTCCATAAACTTTTTAATCTCAATCAATAAGCTTTTTCTTTGATGTTCTTTTATCTTTTTTTAATTTTTAATAAATTTCATTAAACTTTTACATTTTATTTTTACAAAATTAAAAGTGTACTTTGAAAATATTTTTTTGTTTATTTTTATCATTATAATACTTTCATCTTTCTCTATATAGTATATAAAGGGGACATTTTTTCCCCTTTTCATCAGGAATGAAATTTTGTATCAAACATAAAAAAAAAATAACGTTAATAAAATAAAAAATGACTTGTTAAAATTTTTAAAGGTACTAACAGAAGTAATTAATAATAATGATAAAGAAGAATTATATTTGTACTATGTATATATAAAAGATAAAACAAATTGATTGAAACCTAATTGAAAAATGTAATCCATCCAGTGTATGCAAAATGTGAAATATGAATATGAAATTTTATTCGGCGCTTGAAATTTAGATTGATTAATGCTAAAAGAAAAATTGATATCTATGTAGAGAACGTAAAAATAAAGAGAAAACAAATTTTTTTATATATATATATACATTGAAATTAAATTTCCAATTTGTCAGATTGAAGATAAAACATCAATTTTCAATTTTGAAGAGAGGGTTTTATAAAAGCATTTGCTTTTTCTAATTTTTGCAAGTGGCTTCATCAGTAGCATTTATAGAGAATTATATATATATATATATATATATAAAAGTATCTGGGTATACAGGGGAGGGAGGATATTTTAATCGGCTGATGCGTTGCCTACGAGTTCGTCGTTGAACGTACGCCCTCGAATTTGAATTGCAGATACATGGCGGTGACCCGTCCGATAAAGTACGCCAAACACAAGAACAATAGGAGAGTGTGGTTGACGATACTGTTGGTTTGGGCGATATCGGTGGCGATCGGAAGCCCGATTGTTCTCGGCCTGAATAATACTCCAGATCGAACGCCGGATCTTTGCATGTTCTACAATACGGATTTCATCATGTTCTCCAGCCTTTTTAGTTTTTTAATTCCCTGCATCATCATGGTCTTCTTATATTATAGTATATTTAAGGTGAGTAGAACTTTTTTGTTTTTTTTTTTAAATTTTGTTCATACTGTGAGGATTAAAAATTTTCTGATTGTATTCAAATAAATAAATTCAATTGAAAATATAAATATTTAAAATCTTATTGATTTTTAATTTTACTGCAGTCTCACTGACATTATGAGGCCAAAATGAGGAGGTTAATCAAATAACTCGATTATTATTATTATTTTTTTCTTAATTTCTTGTTTCAGTTAAATATTGGCTCGAAAATGCATAAATAAAAAGGGATTACAGACATTAATTCTTAAAATTAAATTATTATTAAATAAGATTTTTCCATTTCTCGAATCTATAATGTGATTTCGTCTAGTAAATTTTTATATTGAAATATCTATTTTTCAGGAATAATAAAGCAAAGTGATTTAATATATTGAAAAATAAATAAACTTTTGTGATTTGTAAAATTGTAAATACAACGTCAAAATATACATATATTCATTGTAATTAAATGTTTTCTAAAATCTTGACGATTCGTTATAGGTAAAGAATTACTTAGAACTTGTAGAAGGAAACTGTTGAGAATCTTAGTATACAATTGAAAGTTGCATTAAGCACCTAACAGTAACTAAAGTCGTAAAATACAGGTGGATGTAATAAATTTGAAAGCCCTCGAAAAAGCTCGACCGCTACCTATATAGCAATTTCATAGTTAAAGCCAACAGTTTTTATGATCACATTAAGAACAAGGAAAACGTTTGTAGAACGTTAACGATTATTACTTTAAGAAACTAATAATTATTAAAATGTTAATTTAATCAAATTTAACTAAAACAAATTGTAAATTAAGAAGAATGATAATAATTGTTTTTTTTTAAACATAGGTATATATAATAGACAATGTTTAATTACGCGTTTTTAATTAATGAAAAAAAATGATTATTTACGTTTTATATTTAATTTCGATATTAAAATATAAAAATAGTAATTAATTTGCTTTTATTTCAGGCGCTACGAATTAGACTGAAAAAGCAAAGGGCCAACAGAAAGTCAAACACCGTGGATACAAAATCGGGGAGTATAATTGAAAATATCACGCACACTAGGAGGTGAATAAAAATTTTCTGTTCTTATATTGTTACTTTATTGCTGTGTTCTTTCTCATTATTCGTGTGATAGTGGATAGAAGCTCCCATGGATAATTCACTTTTCTTATGAAGACGCGTTGCATGCCTTTTATTTGACTTCATTATATTAGTATAGAATAAAAAAAGACTGGGGTAAAATGGCACACTTTTTATTCTTTATTGTTTAACTTTGTCATTTTCACATTAATTAAAAGTTTATCGTTCAGAAAACTTCTTTTTAACATTTCAGCTTTCATTAAACAATAAAAAAAAATCGTACATTTTTTCTAGGACAGTTTTCTTTATTGTTCAATTATTGAAATGTGTCAATTGGCACGTGAGTAATATTATTAAAAAGTTCAAATATTATTATTTATATTTATTGTAAATTAAGTTTTGTTACAATAACTTTAAGTATTATAAAAAATATTGAAAAAAAGTAAATTCAATTGAAATATTTTAAAAATCAAAACATGATATTCATTTCATTGTTAAAAGTATTTTTAAAAATAGTTTTGACAACAGAATAAAGACTTTGAAAATTTCCTTTGAAATATTAAATTCAGTTATTTCGCATCATATTTTTCATATAATAATAGATAAATAACAATGAAACTTTTTATAAAACCTTACAGCATACCTACCTATATTTATTTTGAATAGAATGTAAAATTATTTCGACTCATCACTTTTCAATCAATTGAAATATTACATTACTCATCGTTTTCCTCTATAATGACTTTTAAGGATTTTTTTTAAATATAATTAATTAACAAATACAATGATATACCATTTATTTCACTGCTTTTGTACAATGAGAATACATATAAATCACAATTAAACATATTTTACAAATCTCAATTAATTTATATTCAAAAGAGAAAAACGTGTATCACATGTAATAGTTTAATTACAATATTCATTTATATAAAAAACAAATATATATACAAGCATCAAATTAATAACGGATAAAATTTATTCATTTGCTTAATAATTATTAAATGTAGGTACTTGAATTTCCTGTTTCAAAATATTAATTTTACATATACATTGTATTAATTAATAATTAAAACAGATTCATCATATATATATATAATGAATTCATTATATACACATATAGGATAATCTAGTCTTTAGTGAAATAAAATAATTATTAATTATATATATTAAAATAAACAGCATGTGATTTTTAGGTGTGCAATGTTAATTCTATCGGGAACTTTTCTCCTAAAATATTAAATAGATTGATCTAAAATTTTGTAAACATGTCAAAAATCTAATTTTCTTTCTTTATTTTCTTCGAGTATAATTTTTCAAACTCTTTATATAAAGAAATTCTTGTTCACTTGAACTTTTATGCGAGTGAAGTTGGTAAATAAAATTTGACAATTTCTATGTTGTTTAAGCACATTGTTCACACAAAAATGTCAATGCTGGAATACGAGAATAATAATAAAAAAAAAAAGAAGAAAAAAAAAACTTTTTTCTCTTCTACTTCTTTTAGAAGTCAGAACATCAACGTCAATTTTTCTCTCGGGACCATGCACACCGACAATTTTCCATACTGGCAGAGATTCAAATGCTTTCCATTCCCAATATTTTACCTAACCTTCCACACACAATCACAGGAAATGTATATATCTATATATATATAGCGTGTTCTAACACTATTTATTTACGGCAATTTGTCTGAAGATATTACATGCCGCATACGTATATAATATCGACACATACATATATATATATTATAATTTCAATGCCAGGAAACCATATAAAATCTACTGAAAATTGATAAATTATACATTGATGATTTCTTATTAAAATATATTGTCAATCGATAACTAAAGAATTACACTTGATGTTTATATGTCCTACATTTTTTAGTATTTCGTGAGTTTTCTCATTTATATATAAAGATGCACGAGAAAATGTGACATTATATCCTTGAGGAGCTTCAATTTACTTTGTATAGTGTAGCAAATGTTAAATCTACCAAAATTTTTTTATTTTGAATGATAGTGAGAACATTTATTTTTTACCCTTTATTTTAAAATTACTTAAAATTACTTTCTTTTATTGTTTTTATAAGTTTCAAAATTATTAATTTTATAATAATAAAATAATTAATTATTAAATTATGAACTTATTTTTATAAAAATTATCCGTAATTTTGACAATGCTGAAGATTCTTCATTGAAAAACTTTAATAGTAATTATATATATATATATATATATAGGTACAAGCACTCTTTAGCATAAAAACCGCTCTCATTCAGAATTCTCTTTGAATGAAAACGTTTGTACATTTTCATACCGAGAGTTTTTAAATAAAACTTGACGCATGAAAGCTCTTTAAATAAAACACTTTAAACGCTGATTACTTTTTGTTAACGAGAATTCCTAATTAGAATTTTGTCAGTCACTTTTAAAAATGATTTTTGTCAATCATTTTTAATTTCTTTATTAATATTAAATGCCCGTTTCACTTGAATTGCATATATATACTTAAAAAATTATTTAAAATAATTTGATTTTTATTTTTTCATATATATATTTTTTTAATAGTGAAGAAAACCAGAGTTAGAACCTTACATTTTACTCTCTGAATTTGAATTAATAATAATTCGTTCACTATTTTAAATTAGTGAAAATTTCTACTAATTTTTGGTCATTAAAACTTAAGTAAAAAAAAAAAATTATTACTAAATCAAATAGTAATATTTTTGTAATAACTAGTGAAAATTTCCTACTAAGAATTAGTGAACGAATTCTCAATAATTCAAATTTATAAAGTACAAATGTAAATATTCTTTAATAAAAACTATCCTTCAAATTATAAATAAATTTTAAAATTTAAATATGTAGTTAACTTTTTTCATATTTGTAGTTTTTGTTTCGAAATATTGCTCGCAGAAAATTATCTTCAATGAGAAAAAATAATTTAATTTATAAGTTCAGAAAATTAAATTAAAAAATAGTCAATTAAAAATTTTAAAAGAATCTAAGTACTAAAAGAATTTAAAACGTTTTATAGACATAGAAGAATAGAGAACGTAAATTGAAGTTACTAAAACTGACTTTTACTGCTTTTAGCAAAATTAGACGAATGTAAAATGTTACTCGTCTAAGTGGAACTTACTTTCATTACTACTAAATACCTAATGTAGAAGAAAATAAAACATATTTTTCTTGCAAAAAGTTTTTTTTTTATTACTAATTTATCAAAACTGATTTACAAAAGAAAATTGTTTTTACTAACTGAAGCAATATTACAATAATTTATAAATTTACAATTCACTGATATTAATAATAAAATTACACAATTGTAAAACGTTTTATCTGTCTGAAAGTGACATTTACTACACCCAGAGGATAAATATGTATTTGTATAAAATAATTTAAAACTAAGGAAATTTCTGCTAGCAATATAATGTATATATATATAGTAAAAATTAAACACTGTATTTAGAGTATTTTCATAGAAGCGTAGAAGTTTTAGTTTGGATGAGGGTTTATTGTAACAAGAAGCATGAAGCTAGAAAACGCTAAGGATCCTGTAACTGTAGAAGCTTTTTAGAGACTTTTGACTAAGGTCACGTAGTGGGTATTCTGTGGCAAGGTTTGCGGAGACTGCACTAGGAGCAGCAGCACTCGTGACACCAGGAATTGAAGAGCCAACAAACACGGCATCTGGGAGTAACGAGGACGAGGACGAAACACCATTAGATCCTGTAGTGGTCATCTCTAATGAAAAAAGTACCGAATACTTTCTAGCCACTGTCGTCGAGGAAGCAGCGTAAGATATTTTTTTCATTAATTTTAAATTTCTTCTAATTTAAAAACAAAAATAAAATTACGTATTATTATAACTTTTAGTTTATATTTAAATCTATACTTTTAGTTTTAATTATAACACAGGAAAACAAATTTGGATCAACTTTTAAAACCAAAAAGAAAAGATAATAATTTTTAAACGTTTTTTTTCATACTGAATTAGAATTCACTATCATAATTTGATCCAACATTTTTATTTTTCAAATCTAACTTCAAATTCATAATCAGCGTCTACAAAATCTCCAGAGTAATAAATTTTAAATAACTCCAATAGATTTTTAAAAAAATGTCCGCCATATTTGAACAGGCATTTCGTATTTTAAAAAAGTGATATTGGAATCGTAATTAGTGAGGATTTAGTTAGTCTGCCTACCCATTTCGTTAATAAGGTAACTAATTAAATAGTTATTCCAACAAACTAATTAGTTAAACTAACTAATAAAATACTTATGCCAGCCAATAAAAATAGTAACTACAGCTAATAAATTAGCAGCAGTATAGTTTACGAACTAAAAATGATCACCTCAAAAATGGTAATCCCAACCAATCTTTTCTCTCAGTGTACGGATTTGAATTCAGCGTCAAAAATTACATTAAAAACATTTATTTATTTCTCGAGTCCAGAACCGTGTATTCCTATAATTACAATAAAAAGGCTTGAATTGAAAATAATTTAAAATACCTGATATTCGATAAACTTGTGAATTTATTAATTCTATTTAATTGGTTAAATTACCTCTTTCTTTAATACCCTAAAAATAGATAGAATTTTGAACAATTTAATTTAATTCTATTCCAAATGCAACTTGTATTCCATGAGATGCCATACTCAGCAAAATTTCCGAGAGGGATTGAACTGAAATCTTTGATAACTGCTCGCTTCGATAAAATGCCTGAAGCTGTGATGTCAATTGTCCAAAATAATAAATGAAAAATATCCTTTACAGTCGATAGCTGGACAGTTGGAGGTAGATCATACTATGTTATTACCATTCACTTTATATATTAATGATGATTAGAGTCTTCAGTCACTTCTGATTGACTTTTGCCCTGCAAACGGTGAGCACTCGGGTCGAAGATATTGCATCAGTTTTCAATAAAGTTATTCAAAATTATGGCTTAGTGGAAAAAATTCAAGGGATCACAGTTGATAATGCGTCATCGAACACTACATTTATAAAGGAATTATCGTCCTTGATTAATTTTGATTATAAAAATCAGCATTTCTAGTGTTATGCTCACATCCTGAATTTAGCAGCCCAGGATTTGTTAAAGGAACTTAAACTAAAAGATAATTGTGTTGAGTATAAAAATGAAAATTATCAAGAGATGGAAATTGTCGAAACTGATGATGGTAGCTGTAATGAAAGTGACAAAGGTAATGATGAGTCAGAATTTATGAACTGGCCCCCCTATTCACCAACATTCATAAAAGATCAAAATTAATGTACTTTCTTGTAGTATGAGGTGTTAGAAAAGATATCCTAAAAGGGTTTAAAAAAATTTTTTAAATTGACAAAGTTATAAATAATTGAAGTTTTATGCACCATATTTTTAAAAAATTCACAGTTTCGAGAGATTATATTTAAAAAATATGTTTGAACCGGCATTTTATCAACAAATGTATGTAATTTTTAGTACTGTATAGTAATTTAAAAAATTTTTTTTTTTAATGCAAAATTCTGTATTTTTTTATAAACAAATAGAGATATTTTATTGTTTCAAATTGCTAAATGAATTTTTTTTATACATTATAATTCCTTATTTATTCAAGATGAAGTACGAAAAAAAAATTTTGGTATTCGTTATTTTTGAGAAAATGACAAGAGTTTTCGTCAGGCGCTGCACGTTATGAGACACTGCCACGCCGCGCCGCTGCTTGCCGGCGCGCTACACTTTTCGCGCCTTACATCTTTGAACAGGTTGTAAATTCGTAAATTGGTTTAATAATACATTGTTTATCTTTTATACATTGAATTTAGAAATATGTCTAAAATCCGAATAATCTAAATATAAATTATTTTTTTTTATTATTATTAAATTTGTCAGCTGACTTGAAAAACAAAAGACAATCGCCTCTATACAAAAAAAACAAATGCATATTATTTATTTATATATATGAGGCATTCTATCTCAACCCGTTCCACCTTCAAAAGACGATCGCCAGCAGAGCGTTTTTTAAGTTAATATTTTTATATCAAAAGTAAATAATTTATATAATGTTACACACTATTTCGAAAGAGAATTTAACGACCTTTTGATTGGTCTTAACATTTTTTTTAATTTCTTACAATTTCAAACAGAAATTGCGTTTTGAAATATTCAACTCTTGATATCTCAAAACACCCCCCCCCCCTTCAATTTTATTTTAATATATATGAAAATAAAGCTTAGTTTTTCTAGTTTCAAATTCCGTTTGGTTTATCATGGACATTTGTGAGGATTTTTGGATAACAGTGATTCAAAAAATGTGTTTTTGAAAACTTTGACACGAAGTATGAAGTTGAATCCTAACCCGCATTCAACCTGCGTCACACACGAATTTCATTGTTTTGAAAAAAAATCGCAACCTATAATAATAAAAATTTTCTGTAAGGAGATTAATAATATCGTATTTATTTTAATAAAATGCTTTTAAGTGATTTTTAAGTTTAAATTTAAAATTACTCACCAAATTAATTTTTTAATATTAAATGCAATTATTATTGCAGGAAAATTTTAAATAAATACTTTTATTTTATGAAAAAAAAGACATTTTTTGTAGGTTAAACGAAACATTTTTTATTTCAGCAAAAATTAAACACAGAAGAATTATAGTCCTTGAAAAAATACTAATTTTTAAATAACAAATTTTTTTCTTTATTTAGTTTTGAAAAATTTACTTTCCTCGGACGAAGAATATTTTTTTAAAAGCATTTGTGTTTCAGAAACAGGAATGAAGGTGTGATATTTTTGTGTTCCTGAAATTGTTTTAGATTCATTAAATCTTTTTTTAAGAAATTTTTCAGTCCTGGAGTACTTTTCTTTGGAGATAAATTGAATTTCAGTTTCAGGGAAATTTCGCTTGGACCAATTAAACAATGCTTCCGCGGAAAGTATTTGTTCACTCCCTTTACGCTGCAAACTTGCACGAAGAGCTTGCCGTTTCAGATTTCCTCCAAGACCGTCACAAGGACCTTTGCCGTGACCTGTGGCATGAAAATGCCATTCTGCTGGAATCCTAAAATCGGTTTGATGACACAATAGATTGGCAAAACTTTTCCTATTTTTAAATTGTTGAGGAGCACCATCAGAAAAGTAAATGATCTTCGAAGGTTCAAAATTTTCTTTCAGATAGGAAATTATTAGCTCCTGACACTGATAGACCGTAATTGTGTCATGATTTAAATTATCAGATATGATAATCATACTTTTATGCATGAGTTGCCCATTTTTCTTGAAGTAGATGACAACAGTAAATAATGACGCCTGACTATTATTCCAATAGAAAGCTTGCACAGAATTTTGCGCCACAAATAAGTAATTTTCCGCATAATCAAATTGAATCAAAAAATGATCTGGAAGCAACTGATCTCTTAAATTCGTCAAGAAAGAAGATTGTTTCTTGGAAACATAATCATGGACTTTCAAAGACAATAGTTTTTCTCCAAATTCATCAATAAAATCATCGACTTCCATTACCTCTGTTCTGAGAGTCGTTCTATCTGTATTTTGCCAAACTTGAAATTCTATTCTGTTAATTCCGTGTTCCTCAAAGATTACTCTTAAAATTCTCTCCATTCTACTTTTGCCGGGACATTTTTCGCATTCGTTTAAAAAACAATGTGGTTGAGGGTTACTACAAACTATTAATTTTATACATTCTTTGTAATTAGATAATTGTTCTTCGGAGTCTTTAGTCAAATTCTTTATTGATGATCCTTCTATCATCAACTTAAAGTTTTCGTGATGTACACAAAGGCATAGCACGTGTGTACCGCTTGACCCTGCCGAGACACAGTATGGTGGCCTCAACTGACAAAACTTAGCAAGACTAATCTTAGCATTTTTGTAATTTTCTTTAAACAGATCGTAAACTTCTGAAAGATTAAATAGGAGCAATCGTTTTTGTACAGAAATTCGAGAGCCATCATCTTGTTTTAAAGAAATACAATCTTTTATTCCTGGCAACAATCTACTGATCTCATCAGATTCATAAAATTCTGTGACAATTTTTTTTGTTTCAGGCGATATAGGATGACCAGACTTCGGATTTGGTGAAGTTAAAATTCCATGTTCCCTAACAAGTTTCTTCGCGTTTTTTGCTTGCGAATAAGTTGCACCAAACACGTTTACTAATTTTCTATAACCCCAAGATTTTGGAGCAAGAGTCAAAAGTAAGATTTTTTCGGATACACTGGTAGATGTTTGAAATTTCTCTATTATTTGCTCCAAAACTTCACGTCCCGCTTGACAAAATTCTTCAGAGGATAGAAATTCAATTTTTTCACTAGAATTCTCTATGCAGTGAATGCTGGAGTCATCAAGAATGTTTGATGTCTGTTCTATTTCTTCCATGGCTGTAAGGACAATATTTATTTTTCATGACGAAAATTAAAAATGGAATCTAATTAAAAATAGTAAAAATATTTACGTGATAGATTCTCTGATGAAACAATCAAATTGCGGTAGCAAATCTATTTTTTTTCGGCAGATATGACAAATTTTTAATCCTGCTTTTGAAAATTCAGGCAATTTGAGTTTTTGGTGTTTCGAAATATTTCTAAGATTTTTTCCTTTTCCATGATTTTTTACTCCAAATGGATTCACACATTTACCGTATTTAGGCAATGCCATTTTAAATTAAATTATTGAAGTAAACTGTTAGTTATTTTTCTTCACAAACTGTTAAAAGATTATTTTGAAGCATACCAGAAAATTAAGGTTAAATTAAAAAATTGAAAAACAGCTCACATTTTTGTTGTAAAATAAATTTTGTGGTTCACTTAAAAAATGTAAATAGGAGTTTTTGGAAAGAAGTCTAAAAAACAGCTCCTAAATATTTTCAAATAACTTAATTAAATGTTTGGCATAATTAAGTGAATTTATTTGGAGAAAAAAATTACTTAAAATAAAAAATTTAGAAATATTTTCAAAACTTTGTTTTTTAAACAAACAAGTACTTTAAAAGCAGTATTGAAAATATGTCGTAATTTTCATTGTATTTCATTAAAATTATTTTGTAATTTTCAGAGTAAATCATACTTTGACTCTTGCTTAATAATCTCAGAAGTACAAAAAATTAGGAAAATTGTTCTCATATAGCAACAATTATTATCACGGTGCAAAAATTCGCAATATTGCGTACTAATATTGCTTTTAATTTGCTCTTATAAATAATAAAAATTATGCTAATGAAAGATAAAAGCTATTAGAAGATTAAATTTAAAATATTTAGAACACATTTATTCAAATTATTTCTTTAAAGATAATTATTGTATAAATAAATAAATATTTCAAATAAATTATTGTACAGGTTGTGATTTTTTTCAAAACAATGAAATTCGTGTGTGACGTAGGTTGAATGGGTTAGGATTCAACTTCATACTTCGTGTCAAAGTTTTCAAAAACACATATTTTGAATCACTGTTATCCAAAAATCCTCACAAATGTCCATGATAAACCAAACGGAGTTTGAAACTAGAAAAACTAAGCTTTATTTTCATATATATATTAAAATAAAATTGAAGGGGGGGTGTTTTGAGATATCATGAGTTTTATATTTCAAATCAAGATTTCTGTATGAAATTGTTAGAAAATTAAAAAAATGTTAAGACCAATCGAAAGATCATTAAATTCTCTTTCGAAATAGTGTATAACATTATAAGATTATTTTGTTTTTTATATAATAAAAATCTCATGAAAAACCATCTGCTAGCGATCGTCTTTTGAAGGTGGAACGAGTTGAAATAGAATGCCTCATATATATATTTACCATCATATACAAAATTTTAATTTATATTTAGATTATTCGGATTTTAGACATATTTCTAAATTCAATGTATAAAAGATAAACAATGTATTATTAAACCAATTTACGAATTTACAACCTGTTCAAAGATGTAAGGCGCGAAAAGTGTAGCGCGCCGGCAAGCAGCGGCGCGGCGTGGCAGTGTCTCATGACGTGCAGCGCCTGACGAAAACTCTTGTCATTTTCTCAAAAATAACGAATACCAAATTTTTTTTTTCGTACTTCATCTTGAATAAATAAGGAATTATAATGTATAAAAAAATTCATTTAGCAATTTGGAACAATAAAATATCTCTATTTGTTTATAAAAAAATACAGAATTTTGCATTAAAAAAAAAAATTTTTTAAATTACTATACAGTACTAAAAATTACATACATTTGTTGATAAAATGCCGGTTCAAACATATTTTTTAAATATAATCTCTCGAAACTGTGAATTTTTTAAAAATATGGTGCATAAAACTTCAATTATTTATAACTTTGTCAATTTAAAAAATTTTTTTAAACCCTTTTAGGATATCTTTTCTAACACCTCATACTACAAGAAAGTACATTAATTTTGATCTTTTATGAATGTTGGTGAATAGGGGGGCCAGTTCATAAATTCTGACTCTGATAAGGAAGAAATTGAAACTGAAGATGACCTTGGAAATGAGAAACAAAACTGTAGAACTCCACTTGCGAAATTAAAAAGACTTTATTCCAAGTTAAAAAATTCTAAGCAGTAGAGAATTAAATTAAGAAGTTGTTGCGAATATAAGAAGAATATATATGTACTTTTAACTTTCCGTGGCTTCACGGACTTGTAGCAAGAAAATCTGTGTTCAATTCCTATTTTTTGTCATTTTTTTATTTTTCTCGAATAAAATTAAAAGGAATAGAAATTCATATATTTCTATTCTATATATGTGGAATTAAAGAAAGAAGGGTAGTTACCGAATTAAATGGAATCAAAAATTTTAATTTTATTCAATTTCAGCCTTGCATTACCGGGTAATATAAATCCTAAAAAACCAAATTAATTGGTTCTAATTTAAGTATAATATACAACTGTTTTACTTGAAAAACTATTTTATCTTAGAAACGAATGTCTAAGATAGAAAATGTCTGTTTGTTCTAATCCAAAAGTAGTTGGTTTACTTAAGAAAAGATAATTCATCTGGCTGATCAAACAGTAATTGTTCTACTTAAAAAGAAAATTATTTCGCCTGACCACAAAGTAGTCTTTCTCCTGAAAAACAAGTAAATCGTTTCCAACCTTTAAAGCACTTGTTCCAATTTAAAGAAAGCGATCATTTCGTTGGATTTAAAAATAGTTTTCTTTTCTTAAAAATAAAAAAAAAACACAAAAGAATAAAAATCATTATTTTGTTTATCAGAAAAAAATAATTGTTTTACTTGGGAAAACACGCAATATTTTTTTAAAATTAATTTTGTCTAAATGAAATGCACTGGAAAGAAAAAATTTATATACTGAGAGTGAGACGTGTGTGAGACGTGACAAAGAAATAAACGTTTCGCAAGGGATTAATTTAATGAAATAAAATTGTACACCACACAAAAATGAAAAGGATCCTGGGAAGAATAAGAAATGTTTCAGGTGCAGAGTGCACTCGTATAGTTTAACTCCGAATGAGCGCGCTATAACATTTACGTGATTCTTAGGAGATGAGTTTCTTCCTGGAATATGACACGGTAATTATTTTCAAGTCTGGGCAACATCACGGACAAGGGGGAGGGTTAATATAGACAATACTTTTCAAGAGGTCATTGCACCATCTCGGTTTCGTTTTAATTGGTTGAATTTTCTAATTAAACTAAAATTACTTTTGGTTTACGAATTAGAATTTTTTTTTAGAATCTTCATTTCTTTTCTTTACTAATACTTTATATCTATATTATTCTACTTGCTTTTATCTCTTTCAGCTGCAGTAAGTTTTGTTTGTTCGTGGAAATAATTGCAGTTTGTTCTTCTTTCGAATAAGCTGTCTAGAGAACCACATGTAACGCTAGACTTTTTTCTCATCTTCCTGTCTTTTTTTTATATCCTTCTTTCTCTCATTTTTTTTTCTTTCTCACTGGGCACTTTTTCCTGTCATGGGCACTTTGTTAAAACGTGAACAGAAAGTGAGTCACTCTTTTTTTGTTGCTGTGTGAGAAGAAAATTAAAAGTCGAGTAATTTCCGAACTTACTTCGTAAAGCTTTTCAGTGATGTACCAACCAACCGTAAAATAAAGAAAAAATTTTCCACAAAGAAATATACGCTCGTGTACTCTATGTCTAATTGCAATAGTGAGGACAAAGGGGACAAGCTCACTGTTCCTTAGTCAAAGATAATTAAATACCCAGTATATGATAGTTCATTATAAGAAATTTATTTTCATATTTTAATGAAAATAGAAAAAGATATATGTATAGTGAAAGAAGTTTTTCAAATCAAAGAATTTCTAATATTTTATTTTAAGAAATGATTTTAATTATAAAATAATATTTAATAATATATTAAGGGGTTATGACACTAGGATTTAAAAAAAATCGATGTTTTCTTGTGCTTTAAATGGTCCCTTGGGGTCTCAAAAGTAACATATTGAAAGATTATGGCAGTAAGAAATAACTAAATAGCTCATTTTCAAAGTTTCATGCAAGGCTTTATAGCGCGCGGAGAACTCATTTTGTCACTGCGGTGGGGAGGGATACTTGAAAGGTCTACGCAGATATACAGCAGATGTTTTCAGAGAAATGAAATGGATAATAAGGACAATTAATGAGGAAGGCCAATTATATGGTGCAGGAATTGCAGATTAAAGGTATTTAAAAATTATGTACGCTTTTTTACAACTTAAAAATTTAAACACGATTATCTCAAAACTACATTTTTCGAGCTATCACACCAATAACTTTTATAATTTTCAACCTATTAAGTTCAAATTTTGCACACATCTTTAATATTATATTGTTTAGAGAAAAGCATAGGATTTTTTTTTAATTGCATATTTCTTCTGTTATTAAAAATTTACTGCTCAATTTTCATAGCTAAATTTTAGAGATACTCCATTTGGCCAAAAATCAATATATTCAAAAAATCCTACGCTTTTTTTAGCTACTGAATAAGGAATAAGAAACAATTTTGATAATTATGCTATTTCAAAATTTACAGGAACGGTTGGTGCGGCCGCGGTTTCTTCCCGCCAAGAACGAGTTTACGGAAAATGGCTGCAGCGCCGCAAAACATTATGAAATTTAATCATAATTATTTTTTTCTACACTTCGATAAATGTACAATGAAGTCCTTAGATCACAATTTTTATTGGCTTCAGTTTCTTAAAAAAAAAAAATTCACAAAAAACACCTATTTTTCGGCCTCTAGAGCGTCATAATCCCTTAATATTAAATTATTGTTATATTTATTATTTATATAATATAATGTAATTAATAAAATAATATAATTTTTAATATTTTTGTTTTTTAGTTGTCGTTTTAGTGTCGTTGCCCAGGCACAACTAAATTCTGAGACGAAATCGAGAAAAGATTCAGGTTACGATGGGGCAGCAAGTAGCACGTTACTTCATGAGACGATAGAAATGAATTCAAGTCCAAGTCCAAATCCAAAGGGAACTTCTGGACCATCTTCATCGACATCGTCTTCCCCACCTCCACGTGGTGTACCACCACCACCAATTTCCAATTCACATCCGAAACGAAATGGAAATAGCACAAATAAACAAGAATTCAAGAGGTTCAAGAGTTCGGCAACTCTTTTTCCTTTTCAACTTGGAAGGTCACCGAGTGTCATGACAGGTTGTTCATCATCCAAAAAAGATCGAAAAAATGCTTCTTCAGGCTCTAGGTTTACGATATATAAAGCAAATAAGGCCAGTAAGAAGAAACGGGAAAAAAGTTCAGCGAAGAAGGAACGCAAAGCGACCAAAACTTTAGCCATTGTACTAGGTCAGTTCATTGTTATTTCTTTAATTTATCTTCTAAAGGAAAATTAACTCGCATATATATATACATATTTTCACTTCTATTCAACAAAGAAATGCAATTAGAAGGATGCTTTTAATATTTATGAAAAAAAATGTTACAAGAAAAGAACAAAATTACAATATTCATTGTATATCTGATAATGGAAATTTGAAATTTACCATAAATTTGTTTATTTATTGAAAAATCTTTTAATTATATTATACTTCAAAGAATTATTTTTTTTGTAAGTTTACTGAAGACGTCAAATATTTCACATTATTATCTCAATAAAAAATAATATTTTTTAAGAAATTATTCTGAATATTAAAACACTGTATTGTAAAACGCTATTACATTGTTGTTCTGGGAGAAAAAGATCTAATCGTAAAAGAAATAATTTTTAAAATTATTAATTTTGTAAAACCAGTCGTCAGGAGCTTCCTGACGATATCTACCAACACGATTGGTTAGCAATTTTAATAATAGAAATTACTCACGGAGAAAAATCACACGTCAGGAGCTTTTGAAAGATTTCTACCAACACGATTGATTTTTCAAAGTAGTAATAAATAAATTTTATTATTCAACAACAATATACAAAAATCAAATCTTCAAAGTCAAGCTACGGAGAATTAATGGTCAGGAGCTTTCTTTCTTTCTTAGTATTCTTATATGTCATGTACATTTCAATAGGCGATCCACATAACAGTTTGAAAGATTAACTCAAGAGATGATCCTAACAAGCCCTAAAAATTAGTTAGTGCAGGATATAATTAATTTAGTTAAATTAATTATCTAACAAGGTTTTTCAGAGGTAAATCAATCGAAGTTTAATGTAAATCTCATAAATTGACAATTTATTATTAATTTATGATTAAGAATTAAGATTTAATTTTTTTATATACAAGAGTAGCAAAGTTAGCATAGACTTAGGAGAAACTAACCCTTAAATTTAGGTTAGGTAAATTTTGTATTATTTGTTATATAAATAATTTTATTTTAATACTTTTTTAGATTCAAAATCATAAGAAATTTCTCAATACAATTTAAAATTTTATAAGTGATTAAATCACGAATCCAAGGTGTGTTTATTTTATTATAATTTATTTATAAACAGAAAATAGACTAGAAATAAATTTTATTCTATTCAGAATAGAGGGAAATAAATTGTTGAGAATTAACAAGCATTTAAAATAATAAAGACTATACCGTCAGATTAATCGTTTTTTTTCAAGAAAAATCTAAATAAATATAATTCTTTTATTTATTAATATTTTCTTTAGCATCAAATCCTTCGAAACGATAAACAATCAATTGTTTAAATAATTAGAAGAATTTTGAAAGGTTAATAACAAAAGCTAAAAAACTAAATAATTATTAGAAAGATTCCTCTAATTTAGTTTGAAAAAGCGACAAATAATTTAAAAATAGAAGATAAGAAAATATAAGTATAGAATAAGAAATAAGCAAAAAAAACTTATAAGAAGTTTATTTCATTCATAAATTTCTACTATATTTTGACAATCTTATCTGATGATATTGATCTCACGCGTTTCATTATATTGAATAATAAAAATGTGACGATACACGACAAAAAGCACCTTAGCTCCCAAAACAGAATTTTACAGGAAAAGCGTTTAAAGTCGAGCGTTCTGATAGGCTAAGACGCGTCAGCGAAAATCAGCCCCACTACTTTACTACTACATCGTTCTTACAGCTCACGGATACGACAAGTATACTAGTAGTAGAGGTGGTAGGGATGGTTTCCGTAGTCCGTGGTAGAACGCGATTCAAATGGTCATGTTGTAACGTTTGTAATTGTAAGAATCAATATTTTCAAAATCTATAACGTTTGTAATTGTAAGAATCAATATTTTAGCTCGCTGAGCTAGGGTTCGTTTTGATTCCAACAAAAATGATAACTGGATAATTAATAATATTTTATTTGTTTTAAATCATCAGATTTGTACAAAGAGGTTTAGCTTTACATTTATCTATTACAAAGTTATTCAATTATAATTCTTCGCAATATTTTGGTTTTATATTAATTCTTATCGAGGCTTTACATCGGTGTTTAAAACTTCTGTTACAAACGATACTATTTTTTTAACATTGATTTTATTTAATGTGTTTAATACATCCATCCAATCATCTCTTATCTCACTCGATTCCGATTTCTCGCTTATATTCCATCTGTTCAAAGAAAATCTCGCACAATCTACCAGAACATGATACAACAGGTCATCAAATTCATAAAGCCTCTGACAGCAAAAGTCACAATAACAATTTAGACTAAATTTAAAAGATCTCCCCCCCATTTTAATTATTGGTTGAAATTTATTAATTAATCTCAGCTGAGCAATTAGTTTACCCTGTCTTAGAGGGATGTCCGTCATGAAAAGATACTTCTGTCGGCGTCTATCGCGATACGTTTAGCCGCGGAATCGAAATTCGGCATCAATCTGGTAACGTCGCTTATTTGAGCCGCGCAATAACGAAATCGGCTTCAACTCGCTGCGATGAGCGGTGAAATCAATTGTAATACTGCCTCAAAATTTGCGATATTCTGGTGAACTACGAGTAAAACTCGTGTTCTAATTATTGGGATCTGACATGGGGGCGGGGCCTAAAGCAATATGGCGTAAATTGGGTAACACTTTTAGTGAATTTACATGGGAATAACATGGGATGCAGAAAATGTTCATTTCTATGGACAGTATTTGCGCATGGGCAGGTACAAATCCTGCTCAACGAAAATTTATTGAAGGTGAACGCGTTTTGCAAGCCGGGCATATTATAAAGTGTGGTGTAAATCGTGTAATTTTGGTTTTGGTTTCGGAAATTTATGGAAAATTACGCTTAAATTTTTCGCTACAGTACTGCCACAGCCTCTCACAAAACACTTAATTCTGCAGGAAGATTTCTCACCCGGTAAAAATGTAGCTTCATTCATAATGATAAAATAATTAACAATGACAGCGGAACTACAATTGCAAGTGACACAAAAAGTTATCCAAAACTAGTTACATCTTTCAACACCAGATGGCATGTGTACGAATGTCAGATCCCAATACGAAGAGTAAAACTCTAAGTATATCTACAAACGGTAATAAAACGGAAAATTTACTTAAAACTGCGGGAATACAATATTTTTTTATTATACATATGTTACGTTACTTTACCTCTTGATACGTTATTTTACAATATTTCTTTACTATACATTACGTTACTTTACTTTACATACGTAGCACGAGAGTGACGGTCCTCAGCGAGAGCGCAGCTTATATAGCCGATCGGTGGGCTGGGCGTACGCGAGTGAGCTTCGGCGATGCGGCCCGCGCGGCGAAATCGGGTACTACGTCTTTGTGCTCCGCGGTCGGTAACATGTTTATCGACGCGCGATAATGTTTAGTACAAATATTTACCGGCCGATTTCTAAATTTGGACAATACCTATCATTTTCTTTGTATTGGAAATTGGTAGTACGTGGGTGATAATTACCTAAACATTTATGTTTATGATCATTCAACCACGTGTTTGAACTCATTTGCTTCTTAGAATCGATGTATTACATAAATTTAATTAAATAAGAAAAGATATAATATTAGAAAAATCCCCGGACTGAGAACTTATGAATGCTTTATTAAATTTAAAGTTAACATTAAATTGATCAATCTTTGAATATCTTTTGTAACCTCTAAAAACAATAAAATTTATTTAAAAATTACGAATAATTAATGTAAATTTAAAAATTTATTTAATTTAAATAAGAAATAATAGAAAAAAATTTGAATTATAAAATTAATAAGAATTTTATAGCATCACACGTATCGATGTAATTAAAAAAAGTAGAGTCACTCTGAAAAAAAAGTTTTTACTTATTTTAAAAAAATTGCCATCTATCTTATAAAAATTATAAAAAAATTTAATTATTTTAATTAGTTTATTGATTTAATGTAATTTTTGTTTTCTATTAACAGGTGTGTTCCTGATATGTTGGGTGCCCTTTTTCACATGTAATCTAACGGATGCACTCTGTACGAAATGGAATGGGAATTGTCAACCAGGTGTCACAGCTTTTATTCTCACCACGTGGCTTGGTTATATGAACAGTTTCGTCAATCCCGTGATTTACACCGTGTTCAATCCCGAATTCAGGAAGGCCTTCCGTAAGCTGATTCGAGTTTAGTCATTTTTTTTCCATTATCTATATATATTAAAAGTCATCGAATTTTTTTTGCATTTAAATCATCCCCCCCTCTCTCTCTAAATAAACAAGGAGAAAGTACCTATACGCTTTTTCGGTTTCTTAAAAAAAGACTAATCTTGGAAAAAAACAAAAAAAAATAGGATTTTAAAATGAATATTATAGAATATTGCATTGAGAATTATTCAAAATAGTGGAATTTTATAGCTAATCTAAAATTTCAGGACCAAATTACTATTGCCGAAACATAATTATATCTCTATATATAATTTTCACCAAAACGTCTTCGAAATTTATGGAAAAAAAAAATTTTACTTCCGCTTGAGGAAATTTATTTCATAACCAAAAAAAATCTTTTCCTTGTCGCAAAAATCGAGCTTCAATAATAATGAATCATGTAAAAAAAGAAAAAGATGTAAAAAAATTTTTTAATCATGTGCGAGCGAAAAGTTAATTTGAAGTTGGAATTTTGGAAAAGCTGCTTGATTAAAAAAAAAAATTATATATAGAATTAAAAAAGTCGAGGGGAATATTAGTGCATATGACGTACCGTGGCAGTATTATATTATATAGGCATTAAGATATATAGAAATATTTTTTCGCTCAAGAAACTTGTAAAGAAAAAAAATCGGAAGAAAAAAAATACAAGTCGTCTTTTTAGGCGTTTCCTATATAGCTGTATTCACGCGTCGCGTATAACTCGATATATTTATATACATACCGTTCCCTCCTTGATAAAAAAAAAATATAAATATATCATTTTACTATACATATATAAATGCCCCCAATTCTGAGAGCTAGGTGCAAAATCTCAAACAAACAAAATTTTCCTTTAATATCATCACGTGGATGACGAGTATAGAAATATTTTATCTTTTACACGCCTTTGTGAATTTCATGTAATCATGCAAATTTTCTGTTCCGATTTTGTCACTTGAACCTTTTCACAAAACTTCATTTCTCTTCACGAATTCACCTTTTTCTAACTTGAAATTCAATTTTCCACTGTGCTCCAAATGTTTTCCATTCTTTTCTGAGTTATACTCGAGAAATCGAAAAATTTGCATTCCAAAATCAAAATAAAAAATCTATTTTTATTTTTCTATAACATAAAAAAAATATACATGTGTAATTGTAATATTTATTGCAAAAGAAAATTTAATTACCAATTATTTCTATTTTAATTAATAGTGAAACTTGTTAAAATAATTCATTGATGTTTTACGCGGCTATGTAATAATTGTACAACCTCCCATTGACCGAATTTCCGAGACATATCAGTATAAAAGTTTCAAAAGTCCATGAAAAAAAAACAACTTTTTTCGTAGAAAATAAAATAAACTGGGAAAAGAAAAAAAAATGACACACACACAAAAAAAATGGAAAGTTTTTTCATTTAAATAATGAAAACTTAATATTTCTCAGACACTGAATGCGTGCTGTTGCAATAATAATATTTGTATAATCAAAGCTTTTTACTGTACAATTTTTTTTAAAGCTATGAACAAAAAGTGAAAAAAAAAATATATATAGACTATATGTAATGATGTACATAATATTTGTAAATAAGGAATGACGTAACAAAGACTCTCGCGTTTAAAATAATATAAAAGCGACAGAAATTTAAAAAAAAAATGTCTATCATTGTGTGTTGACTATTTTCAAAGACGTTTATCGATCCTAATAATGATCGTGTGCGCACACTGTACACAATGTATACGTAAAAATATAATGTTCGAACAGGTATTCAACTTTCAGAATCGCAATCAAAGGCCTAAGGGAACTGCAAACGTTAGAGATAAGAATTTAATTAAATTTCATTTTTTCTTAAATTGATATTGGTTTCTATTTATCATTGTCTAATTTGTTGTTATTTTTTATCCTGCTTGCAACAAGTTTTTGATTTTTTTATTTATCGTTGGAGGTATAGAGTTCTGAAGTATCTATATATAAAGTCGCTCGAAGCGTTTCTAGAGGATGTTTTTTTCAAAATAATGGGTAGCTTAATCTGACAATTGTACACATGTCGTGACAAAAGTTAATTTATAAACAAGAATTTTTTTAACTATTGTTAATATTTGTGAAAAAACTTTTATTATAATCAAAAGCAGATTTCAAGAAGTTAATATTTTTATATTTGGAAAAGAAAGCCTTGCAAAAGGTGACGGATTACTAAAAAGTAGTCACGTTAGTAACGTGACTCAACCAATTGATGAAAAAAAAGTTTATTTCTGGAACTGTTCTAAGAGAAACACCGGGTAGAGAAAAAAAATTAATTCTAATTTTTATAGTGTTTTAAAGTTGACCCAATCAGCACGAAAACTTGCAGCAAACTTGCAAGAAGCTTGCCGTGCAAGATTGCAGCGCAAACATGTAGCTAGTTTGGTGCAAGTTTGCAAAACTTAATACGATGCGCAGTTGTAAACGGAAGCTTCTACGGCTGTGCAATACGTTTTTTAACCTCCAAAACAGAGTGCCCTTTATGTTTATTTAATAGCAAATTGTTTTGAAAAATTTTTTTAGTATTATACAAGCTTGCAGCAAGCTTTTTGCAAGTTTGCTGCAAGCTTGCTTAACTACCTTGCAACAAAAGGACATTTTGTTGCTTGCACCAAACTTGCTACATGTTTGCACTGCAATCTTGCACGACAAACTTCGTGCAAGTTTGCTGAAAGTTTTCGTGCTGATTTGGGAGGTAGGTAAAATCATTCATACATTATAATAATATTTGAGTTATAATAAATAGTAAGTTTTTTTAAATGAATGTAGCTTCAAATCGTTACCACCAGTTGGCGTTAAGAACATACTTTAGAACTCTATATTGTAAAATAAACCCGGATTAGCCGTACAGAAATTAAAAACGCTAACCAATATGCAACGATCAACGGGGGTGCAATTAAGTAATTTAATTTTGACTTCAACATCGACATTGACTTTCATAATCAATTTCACTTTTAGTTGGGGAGCCCATGATGATAAATGGGGACTTACTTGAGCGTCGTCGGGATGATGATATTTTCTAGTTTAGATGATAAGGAAAATAAAAGTTTCTGTAAAGTTTTCCCTTTCAGTGGTACGTTAAACTTAAACAAATTTTCAAAAATGTAAAAAAACCAATTACATGGAAATATTTGAGCGTGTCAGATATTAATAGTTTTGATACCCCAACGTGTCTCTGATACCAAATGTATGTTCACCTCCCACACAGCACATGAGATTAGGGAAATGTCCGCCTATAAGAAATATTGCCGTGTAATATTGCTGAAATATTTCATTAAAATATTATAGAAAAAAATTACGGCCTGTACAGCTGCGCAGTAGTTTTTTAATTTTCTAGTATCCTAAGGTGTTGAACATGTTAGAAAATAACGATTGATTACATATTTTAAAAAAGTTTCTAACTTTCTTTGAAATATTTCCTGAATATTGCCGAGTCTTCATGTGTAATATTGCAGGAGTCTTAAAGTGTAATATTTCAGCAAAATTGTACGGCAATATTTCTTATAGGCGGACATTTTCCTGTTTTCATAAACATTTCACGAACCTTGCATTGAAATATTTCAAATCTTTCAATGAAATATTCATGAAATATTTAGGAAATATAATGTGCTGTGTGGGCTGTCGGTTTGCGTGGTGCTGGTGGCAATCTGGATAGATACAAAATAGAAAAAAATTTTGTTCGATCGCGTCAGATATTTAGGGAGAATGTTAAATGAACCCTAAATATGCTCCCATTCAAAAAACTGACGTTTCGGAAGTGACGCAAGCTCGTAACGAAATGTTGAAAATGCAAAAAAAAATCGCCATCTTGAAATACTCGAGCGTGTCAGATTTTTATACTGATGGTTCAACTTGATGCTGCAGTCATGATAGCCGAAAATCTGACGATTATTTTGAGGAATATTGTTAATCTGACAGCTGTTTTGTGATCAGCTGTAATGGTGTTATGGCGACGGAGAGCAGTGTCAAGAATCGGGATTGTGTGAGAGAGTCAGAAATAGGGAAAAAGTGAAAGGGAAGGTCAGGCACGGAGTGGGGAATGCGTGTTGTACTCCAACTGCGCGCTCTACTCTACATAGACGATTTTCATTACTTTGCCTTTTGGAAATCGTTAGATTATACTTTATTCGTGATTCTTGTGTTATTTCCTTCAAATTAAAAAAAATTTAACCGCGCTCGATAATGTCAAGACAACGTTTTTTTTGCAAATTTCTAACCCTCTTGCTCCCTTACGTTACGCTCACATCGACACATTTTTTAGCTAGTAATTAACACACCTTACCTTAATCTAACGCGCTTCAATATCTCCAACTATCGATTTTTTTACTAATCTGATGGACTATCCTAGACGCAAGTCTTGATAAAAAGAGTTAATACTTGGAAGATGTACTCAACAACATGCAAGGTATCCCCCTGTGTTTATCTACCGCGCTCAATTTAATCCCAAAAAACATATTGGGCTCCTCTACTATTTCACTTTTATTTTTATTTTGACTTTGATTTTCACTTTTACTTTTACTGAAATTCAATTAAAAAATGTATTTCAGTAAAAGTTAAAATAAAGGTAAAAATCAAAGTCATTATAAAAGTCAATGTCGATGTAGCAAATATTTATGTCGTAGTATGTAGGTTACCATTTCCAATTTGTGTTCGTCAAACCTTCCTTGTAATATTAAGTTAACTTAAAAAATTTTTTAAATAAAATAAATACGTAAAAAAATATTAATAACAAAAGTTGGTATTTTCTTTCTGTGAATCCAAAACTTGTTGCAAAAAAAATTATTAACCATGTTTTCTCAAAATTTTCTTAATTAAAATCATTTTCGTATAAAATATTGTATAAATATTATTAAACGATAAAAGAAATTATTTGAAATTCTATTATATAAGGGGAAGAAAATGTTAATATAATAATTAGTTAAAATTTTATTATTCAGAAAAAATTTGTTAATTAAAATTTATTGTTAGAATGATTAATTATATTTCCATATAGTAGCGGAAAATTTGAAATGATAAAAAAAGAGTTTAACACTGAATATTCTACATGTTACAAATAGTTTTGTACAGTTATTTCTCATATATAATTTAATTAATTTTTCTTTATTACAAAAAAAATGTTGGGCACCGAGTGGTTAGGGCGTTACATAAAACTTTATTTCTATATCGACTGTTGTAAATATAAAAATGTTTTAATAAAGACGTATTAGGAATTTAAATATTAAAAATAAAAAAAAAATAAATTCAAACTTGTGTATTATTGAATTATTGAGTTTATTGACTGAAAATATTTGAAAACTTGCCTAAAGTTTCTATAGAATTAAAAATACCGTGTTGGTAAATTAGTTAATTGATTGTCCCGCGTTTGTACATTTTTCTCAGCAAACTTATAAATTTTAATACGAAGCTGATGTACGCAACGTTTATGATAAACGATTTTTAAAGAAATAATTTTTTTAAATGAAAAATTCTACAATTCTCTGCCTAAAAAATATTTCTTGTAGTTTTTATTAATCAACAACTTATAAAAAAAATATTTTTTTAGGTAAACAACTTTTTTAATTTTTCATATTAAATAAGAATTAATTTCTAATCGTTGATCATAAATGTTGTGTACTTCTGCATTGTATTTAATTAAAATACCAATTCTTTTTAAAGTTAGCGTATAATATTAATATTATTATTATTAATATAATATTAATTATTTACTGATCAACTTTTTTCAAAATATGAATCTCTTAAAATAATTAAATTTAAAATTTTGTTTTTTTAAAAAATCCCATAGTTTCTATTTATACATATGTAATTGAATACATTTTTTTGTATTTTGTAAAATAATTGTTATGTAATTAGGCAATTAAAATATCCCGCGTGGAAATGAAACTATGGGTAAAATCATAAAAACCATGGGCGAAATCGATTGCCAAGGTAAATACGATTAGACCCATGGTTTAAACCTTGTCAAAAATCTCAAAAACCATTGCTTATGTCCGTTTCCCATGGTACAATTTCTCATAGAAAATTTCTTTTTAATTTTACGGATTTTTAACCATTGCTAAAATCTTTCGAACCATGGGAAATTTTTTTTTTAAATTTACTAATTTTGGGCCATTGCTAAAATCTTGGAAACCATGGGAAATTTTTTTTTTATTTTACGGATTTTGGACCATGGCTAAAAACTTGCAAACCATGGAAAAAGTTTTTTAACTTTTTTTATTTTAAACCATTGCTAAAATCTTGCGAACCAGGGGAAAATTATTTTTCTTAATTTACGGATTTTTGACCATTGCATAAATCTTGCGAACCATGGGAAATTTTTTTTTTCTTTTTTACGGATTTTAGACAATGGCTAAAAACTTGCGAACCATGGAAAAATTATTATGTTTAATTTACGGATTTTTGACCATCGCAAAAATCATGCAAAATATGGAAAATTAATTATAAAAAATTCCCAATGGTTCGCAAGTTTTTAACCATGCTCCAAAATCCGTAAAATAGAAAAAAAATTTCCCATGGTTCGCAAGATTTTAGCAATGGTTTAAAATCAAAAAAATTAAAAAACTTTTTCCCATGGTTTTCAAGATTTTAGCAATGGTTTAAAACCGTAAATTTAATTAAAAAATTTTCCCATGGTTCGAAAGATTTTAGCAATGGTCAAAAATCCGTTAATTAAGAAAAATAATTTTCCCATGGTTCGCAAGATTTTAGCAATGGTTTAAAATCAAAAAAATTAAAAAACTTTTTGCTATGGTTTTTAAGATTTTAGCAATGGTTTAAAACCGTAAATTAAAAAAAAAATTTCCCATGGTTCGCAAGTTTTTAGCCATGGTCCAAAATTCGTAAAATAAAAAAAAATTTTCCCATAGTTTTCAAGATTTTAGCAATGGTCCAAAAACTGTAAATTTAAAAAAAAATTCCCATGGTTGGCAAGTTTTTATCAATGGTCAAAAATCAGTAAAATTAAAAAAAAATTTTTCAAGGTTTCCAAGATTTTAGCAATGGTTAAAAATCCGTAAAATTAAAAAAAATTTCCTATGGAAAATTGTACCATGGGAAACGGACATAAGCAATGGTTTTTGAGATTTTTGCCAAGGTTTAAACCATGGGTCTACTCGTATTTACCTTGGCAATCGATTTCGCCCATGGTTTTTATGATTTTACCCATGGTTTCATTTCCACGCGGGATATTATTTAAATTAATATATTGTTCTTACTGATTTTAAGAAAAGTAATTTATTTATATTCAGCAAAAGTAAATTAAAAAATTAAATTGAATTTTTTTGAAAATAAATATTTCTTAATAAAAACAGTATTGCTCATAAAATCGCTGTATTTTTCTATCCTGATGCATTTTTTCTCCGCGATAGTCACAATTCTTGTGATGGAAAAGATGATAAAGCGAGACCATTAGGATGGTTCAAAATTATAAAAAAAAAATTCGAATTTTTTGTGCTGTCTTTAGTAGAAATTGAGAAAAAAATTATTTTCGCATATTTCCACTTTATGAGAGCATAGAAACTTACATCACTTTTTGAAAATTTTAAATGTAAATAATTTTATCTAAATTGTAAATTCAACATTAAAATTAAAGAGAATCAATCAAATTATAATTTGTAAATAATTTGGTTTTTATTTTAGAGGTTGTTATATAAAAATTTTCTTAAATTTTAAAATTGAAAAATATCTTTTTCATCTTAAAAACCCTTTGGAGTGAGAATACAAAAATTTCAAGTGTTTTTTGTTTTCTTCTACATTCTTTTGGACCATCCTAGAGAAACCATAGTTTTTAAATGTGTAAATATATGTTTATGCGAGCGCTAATAAAAAAAAATGAAAAGAAAAAAAATACTAATCGACGAGAATTTCTGCAGATTCTTAACTGAGCCCGAGTCTCAGAAATTTTCTGATGTGTATCCTTCGACTGTAAAATTCTGTACACAATGTCTGAATGCGATGTGAGAATAATCAAGAAACTTTAGAAGAAAATAAAAACAGAATTAAAAAAAAAACATTTACAAAACATGTCTGTGCGAGAGTAGAACATGCGCTAAGTTTTTCCTAATATGAATTTCTTAATTACTACCAATGGTCTATACAGGGCATAGTTTGTAAGGTGTGATCTTTAGTTTGCTAAAAAAAATTAACAATAACAAACATGAAAAGTGATGTACGAAAATAACAAACACAAAAAAATACTATTAATTCAAGAAGCAAATAAAACAATACGTACACATATTCACGCGAAAAACGCACACGCAGTCAGACACATGTCATGGTATAACAGGACCGAGACACTTGTTAAAATCTAAAAATTATAGTATAAAAATATCAGAAAAATGTGTTTTCATTTTTACCCTTTTATTCATCCTACAATCCCAAGATAATGATAATGTAAGTAAACACGTGCAAGCTAGTTTCATAATGTAAAACCACTAAATATATTTTACATCCTTTAAGATTGTTCTATTAATTTAAAATTTATTTGCATTCCTAAAATTTGTTCTAGAACCTTTATATTTGTTTTACAACCTTAAAGAATATTTTACAACTTTAAATGTTATTCTAAAATCTTAAAATTTATCGTACAAGACCTTAAAAGATAGCCAAAGCCCATGTAAAATATTTAATGTTACCGGTTTTATGTAAATTTGAAGATTGGAGATTTTTACTTGAGTGTCAGAAAAAATTAATATTTATATTGGAGAAGAATTATAAGGATTTACCATCTTGCGTTGGATTAACGTATTAAAATCTTTAATCCAGAAGAAGTAATATTATTTTATTCAAGAAAACAAAATTAATTTTATGAAGATCTTTTTTTTTATCAAATTTAAATTTTCGCACCTTTTTAATTTGGCCCAATCAGCATCAAGATTCATGAGAAAACCTTTTTACCGATCGTCGAATTCATTTTTTGTCGCGACTTATTAATGTTCTTTTTGTTAATCATTTTTTTGGTTGGTAACGAAATCTCCTTGGAGAAAAAACAAACAACATCTTTTTGATCACTCTTTAATGTCATCTCGTATAAAACAGACGTTTTTTGTGTCTTAGTCATTTCTTTTAAATATTGGAATCTTGATAATAATTTAGAAGAAAATATAGTATAACATCAATTCAAAAAAGAAAATTTAATATACTTAATAAAAAAAGAAAATAAGGAAATTAATTTAATAAAAAGAAGGAATTGTTTGGAAATCTCTATTGGAAATTCGTTGCCAACGGCCATTTTGATTCTATTAATTTTGGAATTCTCTAGTAAAATTTTATATTACATTTATGAATGTTATTTCAAAATTTTTCTTTGCTTGATTTTTCTAATAATAAATCTGATTTAATTTTTCTTTTCAATTTAATTAATTATTATTGAGTTTAAAACTTTTCAAAAATGAATTTAATTTTCTAAATTAACTGAAATATCATTCATTTGATTTATATTTCAATTTTTCTTTCCATTCTCCGAATTTAAGAATCTTATTCTTGAATAATAATAAGTAAACAATTTTTTTTTGTTATGAATATATTTTGATATTATATTGAGTCTAAATTAAATTCTTAACATGTTTAAAAATTAAATAAAGAAATTTATTAATCTTTTTCTAAAATTTCATGTTTTATTGAATATATAAAATAAAAATCTTTTCGAATATGTTATCACGAACCGCCCTCTCTACCGTTAACCAAGAATATTGGGACTGCAGCAGGCCGAGTAAAAGGAAGACTATTTTGATTTCTCGAATTTTGAATTTTAATAATGGTGGCGCCTTGTGTATTTTCCAGACTAGTTTAACAATTAAAGAAATATCTATTTAATTGAGATTTGATTTTGTTTATCTGTCAAAATTGACCATTGCTACGTTATTAGCATGGTGGCCTTGTTCATGTAGGACCAATTTGACATTTAAATATTGAAATTATTTGATTAATTGATTTGATATTTAATTCTTTTGTCCCTTCATTATTTTTTTTTTATTTTGTCCCAAGAAAGGACTGGCGTCAAAAAATAATTTATTCGAGTCTTCCCTTGTAATCTTGATTAATTAATTAATTTTTAATAATTTTTTAAAAATATTTAACATCGTTAAAGATCAAGGTTACAATTTATTCTACAAAGTTCTAGAACCTTTAAAGTTATTGTAGGATTGGCGCTATAAAAATATTTGCACAATACGTAGAAATGGCTAAAGCCAGATCTATGACTTGTCAGATTAATAAACAAACAAAACGATAATAATTAAACAATGCATTTATTAATTAATTAAAAATAATTAACAATTCTTTGTAATAATCAATAATTCTAAACATTATTAAACAATTCCTATAATAACAATAATTATATCAATAGTTAATATATAAAATTATATCCAGTCTTATCGTAATATATACAATGTTTACACAATTTAAAACTTAAATTTCAAAAAAATTTTAAAACTTAGTTTTTAAATTCATCATAATTTGTCATTTTAAAAGTTTTAAAAAATCGAAGGAAAATTTATCTTCGAATTTATCCTTTGGTACTTTATTCAAAGTAATTGACTTTTTTCTCTAAAGATTAAAAAAATTTGATGTTTTTTTTAAAAAGTATTTCCACATTTTGTAACTTGAAAGATTTACCACCAACCGTTTCCATTCTGAAAATAATGAAAAAATATGTTAAAAATTATTCTGCATTTTGTGAAAATTAAAAATAAATTAAATAAAAAGAAGAAAATATTACATTATTTTAGTCAACTCATATATGGGCAAATCCACAGAACCGGCCGATTTTTACTTATCAAGATGAAAATTTTCCAAATAGCAAGCACACCTTTTATTTATGGTTTACTTTCTTTAAAATATATTCAAGAACAATTATCTTCTTGCGTGATTCATTTTATTTTAATGCCGTTTGAGTTAAAAGCCAAAAACGAAAATATTATTTTTCTTCTGGAAATTATAATTAAAAATGGCATTTCTTTGTATTTTTTATATATTATTTGAAATATGTGCAAAACATTTTGAATAATAAAATATGATAAAATACAAATAATTAATTTTTTAATTATCAAAAATAAATTATTTATATTTTATCATATTTTATTAGATATTTTATTTATTAGCATTTAATTTTTTATTTCTGTAAATTAAATTGTTTACTTACTAATTTTGATATTAACTATTTTAACCAACAAACTGACATTATTGACATCGATTTTGATATAACTTTGAAAATAAAACAAATGAAAGGATAATTCATTTTTCACGATTAACTAGTTAAATTTCGATAAATTTTTTTTTATTTTTAATTTTTAGACGTTATAAATTGAAAATATAATTTGGCGTTTGCATACAAGAATTATAATAATGTCTTTATATAATCACACATGTTTTCAACTCATCATATTTTATCCTGTAGTTGTGCTACTGAAAAAAGGCTAAGTTGAAAATGGTTCACGCTTAAACATAGAGTGATAATTATTGGAATATTTTCTTTAATTCTGATTGCACTCTATTCTATGATACATACATTTGTTCGTCTGTTCACAAGCAATAAGCTCCAATTTGAAAAATTCAAATCGAATAATCGCCGCAAAAGATATTTACAAAAATGTATAGACATTTCATTATTATAAAATAATGAGTAACGCTACTTTCAACGACTATCATTTCTTTTTATTTAAGAGCACATATTTTTTATTACTTTCAAAACATTCTTCAATAAGTAAACTATAATTCACCACAGTTTGGAATTGTTCGGATCTATGCCGAACAAGTTATACCTATAAGAATTAAAATTTATACCTGGAGTAACACCGTATATTTTATTTTTTAAGTTACTTAATTCGATTTTATTTTTTATAAAAGACTAGAAGGTTCACATTTATTCAATTTTCTTATTTCAATAGGTTCTCAGAGATATTACAAAATGGTTGAAGTATGAAAATAATTAATATAATACTTCTAAAATAGAAAAATATGTGAGTAACATGAAATCGGCCGGTTCTGTGGATTTGCCCATATATTACTGCAAAATGATTTATAGTCGTACTCAATTTCTTTTTTAAATATAGATATGGCAAAGCTTTAATCTCAAAAAAAATCCTTCATGATTAATCATATTCGCGCCGTGAAAGAAATATAACTTGTAAGTGTCTTATATATAAACAAGCAAAGTTTTTACTGAGAAATTCTTTTCGAACTCAAGTATCGAGAGTGTATAAAAACTTTCACTTTAAAACTCTATTACGGAAGGATAAAATTCAAAGTTTAATTTAAAGAAAATCATTTTTTTTTCTTAATACCAAGCATATTTTACTATTTTATTAATTTTCTTTATAGGGTAAAAATTACAGTTCCTTATATCAGCAAAAAAAAAAAAAAAAAAATAGGAAGATGAATTAATCTGTTTCTTTTATAAACAAACTTATTTCTCAACGAAGAGATAAATTACTTTTTTGCGTTAGAAGAAAAATTGTGTTATGAAAGGAAAATGAGATTTTATAAAACCTGTATATGAATTTTACAATATTGTCAAATAAAAAATAATTCTATTACCAGAGTTAAAAATCAATTTTTATATATTTTTTTAATATTATAAATATATTTATAATATTTAATATTGTAAATTCGTAAAATTTTATAAATACTTGAAACTTTTTTTTTAAATTCATATAAATTTTAATTTTACTAGAAGATTTCAAATTTTTATAAATTTTAATAGAAAATTTTTAAATACTTCAATTTATTTGCTACTTATTTTCTAAATTATTTAATAAAAACTAAATTTCCAGCTTTAAACAGATTTTTACGAAAGAATTTAAAAAATTTATTTTACAATAGGAGTAAAGCCGCATATGGAAATAATGATATTAATATAAGTATATTCACCTTAGGAGGAGTGGATACAGGTGGGCGATGTTGTTCTGGCAGAATTAAACTCCACTTTGCAGGCTCTGACACCATTTGCTTCCAGACAGGATTATTTTGTTGAGCACCATGATCTATATCACCTAAACCACCAAGCTGCCACCCTGTCACATAAATTATTTACATTTATTTTAATTATATTAAAAAAAATATATATTTCAGTTCTCTTTAATCTTTCATCGCAATAATTTTTTACAAAATCACAAATTAAAACGAAAAAAAATATACAAGTTTTTATTTATAATGAAAATTAATTATTAATTATATTACATATAATATATATTGTGATGTTATTTTTTATGATTGGCGTCATAATGGCACTAATCGTTATTAAACTTTTGAATCCTTGTTTTTTGAATTTCGCTACGAATAACGAATAATTCATGTTTACCGCATTTTGAGAATTTCCCTATACTTGACACAAGTCCAGTTGAAATACTGGCTCTCCATTTTTACGGAATTTTGCATTAATTTAGTTTAAATTAGTTTTAGGTTGGCAGGCTTTGGTTATTTTACAAAGTAGCTATTTATTTCAGTCATTGGCAGGTTCTAATTTTCAAGTTATCGCGAGCTTGACATTGGAAAAGTCGCTTAGTTGTATTAGTAATTCAGAATTCTGGAAGAAGTAAGGTAGAAAAATGTTTCTGATTGGTTAAAATTAAAGAAAATCGTTGCGCCATCTAGTGTCAATTTTAGTGTGAATTAAGAATTTAGTTTTCAAATTCTCTCTCTTACCATACAGCCCTCATCGAGTTAACATGTTTAGTTTTCAATAGTTTTTAGATACGTGTTTCTAGTTACAGTCCTATTAATAAAATCTAATTTATATCCAAGTACAATATTATTTAGTTCAATTATTATAAATTTAGTTTAAATTAAAGTGCAAATCGATTTACAATAATTCGTTTTTCTGTCATGAGTCCATTCATCGATGCAGAGCATAACTGTACCGTCATTTTTAATAATTATCAATAATAATGTTTCACCCTCTTGCTTTGTTCATAATATCGGAATAAAGTCTAATTACACTTTAAAATATTATAATATCACTTGGTTATTCTATTAAAAATATAATCTTCTTTTATTATTAATTTATTGTTTACGAATTATTTATTGTTACAATGAACTCTCTTTTTGTTAACAACCCAGCCCTCTCTCCACGATCTGCATAACTGACTAGCACCAGCATGTGCAAAAGACTTAATTAAAAATTCTTATTGGTCGATTTTAATTAGTATTTTGATTAGTTATAAGTTTTGAGATAACATTTGAGAATTAGATTATAGTTTAATACGGTTGAGAATACCAGCGATACAAAAGTTGTCTGGCGCCTTTCCATACCGGGGATCGTCCAGAAGAATAAAAAGTTAAGTGGCACCGTAACATTTTGCTTATGTCAATTGTAGTTTTCTAATGTTTTTGGTATTTGATTTTTCTAAGATTTGAGTTAACGTGGAATTAAGTTCAAAATATCGCGCCGTTTTGTATTGAATTTGAGATCCAATTTAGTCAAAGTTTAGTGATTTTAGTAATAAAAAATATTTGATAGCTGTAACAGTAAAATTTAGAGATTAAACTTAAGAGTAATTATTGAGTGTAAAAATACGTTACAATTTATAATTGTAATTATTATATAAATTTTTCATATTACAAAATGTTATGTAATTATAAATTAAAAAAAAATACTTATTATTTTATTTACATCTGTTTCCCTAATTCAAGATTAAATTAATAATAATAATAATAATTTCTTTTGTTTAAAATGTAAACAAGATAACAAGATTTTGAAATAAATTAATTAATTCTATTCAAATTGAAATTCAACGAGAAAGCTTGATTCTAGAGAAAGAGAGAGAGAGAGATAAATATTTATTCTTACCAACAGGAATGGGAGGTAATTTGGGGAGATATCCTTTATGCATCACAACTGTAATAATAAGCAAAAATTTATTCTCATTAATCTTATGTATAAAACAAGTCTAAATCTTTTGAAATATTTTTTTTCAATTTAAAGTTATTTGAGAAATAAAATTATTTTACTAACAATAAGAAACAATCTTTAACGTCAATGTTTTAAGAATTTTAAGAAAAAATTTTCTCATAAAAGAACGAATTACTTTTTTTTACTTGCATCTAGAATACATTTCTATATAAAAAAAAACATTTTTTCCTTTAGCGTATGAAAGAAACAAGTTACGTCTGACCAAAAACAGTTTTTCTACTGACAACGAACAAGTTTTGGTCTGACCTAAACATAATTTTCTACTTATACATTTTATTTATTTTTACTTTTATTTTTTTTATTATTGAAATTTTTTTTTCCATATATATATATACGTATTTAAGTAAATAAATTCTGTTCGACAATAAAACTAGTCACTTCAGTGATAAAACAAACAACTTTTGTCTCGCTAAAGATTGAATTTTCTACTAAAAGCGAATCGTATCCGGTGAAAGTCACTTAATCTATATATATATATATATATATATATATATATATACTTAAAAAGAACTTTCAATTTAAAATACATTGATCTCAAAGCTATTTCCACTGACAAGAATAAAATCTTTGTTAAACTGTACTTGATTTCTATCTTTAAATAAATGCTCTACACATTAAGAATTATTATTATTATTCATTTTTTTTAATTTAAAAATTTTAATTTAATTTTTTTAGTTTTTCTTTTTATTCATTTTTCAGTATTTTATGTTCGTTACCTCTATTTTTTATTATTTTCACAATACTTTACTACTGTTTAATATATTAACAAAGAATTTTTAAATAAATTTTTAGTTTCTGATGAGGACACGAAACTTAAAATAAATGAACTGTTCTTTTTTACTTGACTCAGAAAGAATGATTTTTTATATCTATATTATAATTTTTATTATATAAATAAATAAATTTTTTGTATATAAAATAAATAAATTGTACATGTAGTAAATAAATAATATAAACAATAAAAAAAATATTAAAAAAATATCCTAATGTATAGGTAATTATTGTTTAAATTTAATTTATGTCCATCAGATAAATTTGTACAGTACGTGGGTCAAGAAAGTTCATGTGCTGTGGGATGTTAATTTATCCATTCCTGGCCACATGTACCTGTCAGAAACACCTGGTCTAGTTTTCGAAGTGAGAAAGCCCCATCTAATGTAATTAATTAAACTAATTTATTTCCAAATATGTTTATGTAGTAAATCTGAACACACAATCATAGTATCGTATAGTAAATTTCATATTTATTTTCTAAAATACCAGGAATATTTTAAATAATTATTAATCTAGATTTATTGTACACGCTTAAACAATTTCATTGGCGAATATTTGGCAAATAGATATTTGTACAATTTAATATTTTTTGTGATGGATAATTGAAGAATTAACCAATTAGAAAAAAGTTTATAAATTTGTATTGAATTTATTTCTGATATTTACTTAAATGTGTATTATTTTATTATTTACATTTCTCTAGAATGATTTTATACAGACACATATCACGTTCAATAGAATTTATTTAAAGTTTCCATAAATTTATTTAAAGAGATATTTTTGAGAATCATTTTATAAATCAACGTTTTTAATTGAAGGATTTAATTGAAATAAAATATAATCTTACCCGGAGCTGGAGTTTCTGCTTTTGTTGTAGCCACAACAGGTGCCAATGTAACTGTTAACAAAAAATTTTCTTTGCATAATAACTATCTAAAACAGAAAATATAATTTAATTTGTTTTAAAAGTAGCATATACAATATGTATAAATTTGATTAGTATAATCAAATTATTATTGATTTTTCAACTTTTTTGCAGTACTTTTCATTTTTGTAACATTACATCAAAATAAATTGAATTATTAAATTTTACTCAATAAAGACACTCATGAGATAGAGTGGCTAATAAAAGAAAGTTAAAAGCTACACGTATTTTATGATAATTGAATTAGGTTTCGAAATTTTCAATTTAATCTTTCAAATTTTATTGACTGTGTTAATAATTTAAAGTTCATAAAGTTAATTTAATAAAATTGATATATATATAAATATACATAAATATACATAAATTTGAACAATTATAAAATTAACATTTATTAAAATCTAAATTTTAATAAATATGTTAAATTAATTGCTGGTTTAATAAATTTATATTAATTTCCGTTTGAAAATTTTTATTTCATTTAGTATTTTAGTTCTATTTGATATAACATTTTACTTATAATATACCACAGCGTTTGTATTTTCTATCACTAAATTCGAATGTTTTGTGGTCCAAATCCATTTTTAATGACGACAAAAAATTTTAAACTTAACGAATTGGAATTTTTTTAATAATTCAAAATTTCATCGAATTCATTAATTTGAAAAAATAAGTTTTGGTTAATTATTTTTTGTTGCAATTTTAAAGCCGAAATTTTGAATATTTAAATTTTGATAATATATTACTCGACTGTTTTTAGAAAGGTTAAATCTAAATTTGATCTCATTTTCACAATTCCAAATGGCGGATAAGCTTTTTAAAACTTGATTTAAACTGCTTAGAAATTGTTAATTGAGGGTTTTTGAGATCGTCGAGTAAAAATCTGGGGGTAGATCATGTAATTACATTTTTTCTTTTATTTCCCCTTTAAATGCCTCTGATTCTGATTTTGACTCATATTTTCATTTTCACTTCTACTTCCATTGATTCAAATTTTCATTTATATTTGCACTTCCATTTTTTCCTCCATTGATTCTTATATTCACTTATATTCACTCATATTGTCATTTTCACTTTCATACTTTATCTTTCAATGTTTCTAACATTCACTTATATTTTTATTTTCACTTCCACTTCTACTGATTAGAAATTGGTGTAAGTGAAAATAAAATTAAAAGGGAAAATTAGAATCAGTGGAAGTGAAAATGAAAATATACATGAAAATTAATATCAGTGGAATTGAAAATGGAATTACATAATCGACCTCCAGATGACCTTTTTTAAAATTCAAAATGGCGGATCGAGTATGGTGGATAAATTTTTAAAAAATTAATCAGATCTACTTGAAAATTTCTACTTGAGGGTTTTCGGGGTCGCTGAATACGAATATGAAGTGGCAGAATTAAAAAAATTTTAATCGTGGATCTAATATACAAAACCCAACCAACCCTCAAGGAAATATATATATAACGCGGCATTTTGCGGCGTACAAATGACTTAAAAATATTAAATTATAATAAATTTTGTAAATAAATGACACCAGGGTGGGAATACAGCTATAATGGCTGTAAAATATTATGAATTATAAAAATTATTCTCTTATGATACTCACTTCATTTTCTTTAAATAATCAAATTCACGTATTAACAAACCAACTTACCAAAGTCGTCAGATTAATAGTCTATCTATAATTAATAAATTCAGTTTTGATTTGTTCTTTCGTTCTGTTATGAAAACTCTCGCGAGGCATTGAGGATTCTCGCCGGATTACTAAGACGTTCAGGACAACACTATCTATCATTGAAATTAAAAGTCATCAAGGGAAGAGCTTCCTGGTGTATATATTTGGATGAGAGTCCTAAATATTCAAGAACACTAGGAAGACGAAATTGCTGTTTCGTTGACGATCTGTCAAACTATTACTGGCTTTTCTATGAACTTCTCGCATCAATCAATTTAACAACGGATAGTGCAGAAATCTACGTTACCAACGACCGCGTATCGATTATCTGTCGCGGATATTAAATTATTGAATATTCATTGATCTAATTGACACCGAGAAGAAAGGCCGCTGTTCAGCGACGCTTTCGAGCATATCTCGTCCACCATTTTCTCTCATTCTAATTCTGTTGTCCGTAGAGTAAACTTTGTTTTGTGTCTTCTATTAATGTAAATTAAAAATGTAATAAATATATATTTGTGGGACAAAGCGTCATCGTCAAATGAGCGGTGAGTCCCCAGTGTTCATTTATAAGTCGTTTTTCTTCGGAATCAATCTTATTATTATTTAAAAATAATAATATTAAATAAATGAATCTGAATCTTCTTATTCGGCCTTCTGACACTTTCATTTTAATAAAATTGAAGTCATTATTAATAAATAGTGTAATTGTATTAAATTTGGTTTTAATTAATCGTGTTTATTCTTATCCCACTTCTCCGCAGTCTATTGTTTCTGTAAAGTAATCTAAGCTGGTTTTAGTTTTTCCTAAATATAAGCCGTTGTTTAGCGACGCTTTGGAATTTGACTCTTCAACCATTTTACTCTCATTCTCATCCTGGCGTTCGTAGTTTAAACTTGGTTTTGTGCCTTTTTGTGAAATTAAAAGTAGAATGTGATAAATTTATAATTTTTGGGACTAGGCGTCATCGTCGTCGATAAATGGGCGGTAATTCCCCAGTTATAATACTATGAGTCGTTTTACTTCTGAATCGATCTTATTATTATTTAAATAATAATAATTATTAAAATCAAATTGAATCTTGTAGGTTTACCTTCTGACACTTTCTTAAATATCAAACTTGAAGTGATTGTTAATAAATAGTGTAACTGTTATAAATTTTGTTTAATTAATGGTGTTTATCTTTATGCCCCTCTCTCCGCGACCTATTGTTGCTGTAAAGTAACAATCGATTTCCTGAGATGGTTTTAGTTTTTCCTAAGTATAATTATAAAATGTACTTGTCGGGTTATTTATATATTTTTCTAGGTTTAGTTATTTTCTATAAAATAACTTGGCGTCTTGGCAAATTAATAATTAAAAAGTGTAGATAACGTAGATTGAATTAAAAATATAATAAATTAATTAAAATTAAAATAAATTTTATTAATCTCACCCTTAAAAATGAACGTTAATAATAAAAATATTTAAAATAAAATCAATAATGAATAAATATTTAAAATTTTTAAATACGTATAAATTATAGAAATATGGAAACATTATTTAATGCAAAAATATATAAACTACAAATAAATTGTTTTATTATTGTGTCCTGTTTTTTTTTTAATTCTGTTTATTGATGACCGCGTTATTAATTTGTGAATGCAAAATGAATATAGAGAAAAAAATTGATATTATATACCTGGGGGAGCTGCAGTAGTAGGTTCGGGCATCATAGCAGCCATCATTGGCATGTTTATCATTTCCATTGGAGCGGAAGGAGCTGACATTGCGGAAATCGGTAAATTTGGCAAGTTTAGTTTGAACGGAGCGCTGATTTGATGATGCTGCAAAGAAACAATGTTGAAAGTCTCTGGCAGTGTCGATTGTTGGAAAATGAGATTGCTCTTCGTTGCTCTTGGAGGTGCAATCATAAAGCCCATACCTTCTGGCATCATCATTGGTGCAGCTGGTCTGCAAGTATTTTAAAACAGAAAAAAATATAATAATAATAATAAATTACAAGAAAAGTCTTACGTTGCAGAAAAAAAAGTCATAAAATTCTTACTGAAATTTTCGATAGGTATATAAACCTATACTCTATATATATATATATATATATTGTACATGAACGAAAAAAATCCAAGAAATCTTTATTATCTTTTAGTGACTTTACAATTTTTTTTTGCTCTCCGATAAACGAATGGCAATAATTTTTCATTTTTTTTCACAAGTAAATTTTTTTATTTTTACCAAATTGGTTTAAAAACTTGATGAATTTTTTTATTAACATTTTCATTCTATAAAAAATTTGAAAACAAGTAAATAGTAAAAATTGTAAATATAAAATGAGAATTTTTTAAAAATATTATATATTTAGAAATAATTTATATATTAGATATATATGTATATAGTTAAATGACTGGAACTACATTGTAGGCTAAGAATAGAATTTTCTACTAGTTCATTCCATTCAAGGCAGGTTATCGTGTATATATATATATCCATAAAGAAAACTTTCAGGAAACTGAACAAGTATTTCCACTTACTTGGCAGCCATTGCCACGTCCGGTTGCTCTTTGGCTGGTGGACTTGTCATTTCAGGTGCTGCATCCTGAAAACAATTACAAACTTTCATCGCTATTTACACACTCGATTATCCACTTGATCGGGAAAACTCACAGCCGACTAATGAACCATAAAATAGTTTCTTATCTACATATATATATAAATATAGTTGCTAATTTTTTTTCAAGTTTATCTTATTCCGTCTTCTATTTTATTTCATACATTATCATTCAATTTAAATTTTTCTTTATTTATTTAATAAATAAACAGACAGTAGTTTATTGCTTCCTCATGGAGGAAGTATTGTTTTCGCGAAATTTTTCGAACTCATTTTTTTGACATATCTTTATGTTTTTTGACCTCAGGAATCCAAAAATGACATTTTTAGAAAATGTCATTCCGTATGTGTGTGTGTGTGTGTGTGTATATACATTACATTTTCATAAATATCTCAAATTCTATAAGAGCTTTAGGGCTGAATTTTTTTTTAAATTGTAGATCTCACTTGGGGACATAAAATGAGAAAACTTTGGGACAAATTAATACATATTAACTATATTTTTTTTGACTTTTAAAATTTTTGAAAAATCGTTTTTTGCCCATAACTTGAAACACATGTTTTGAAAGTTGGGATGTTTTTACTTAATTTTGTAGAGTTTTTTAAGACGCATTTTTTGAGCTATTGACGAACAATCTGCTATCATTTTATCCAAAGTTATTGACATTTTAAAAATCATAAAAAATCGTTTTTTGCTTATAACTTTAAAAAAATGTTATGACACCTACAGTTTTCTTAGTCTCATTTTGTAGAGATTTTCAAGGCGCATCTTTTGACCTATTAACGAACAGTTTACGATAATTTTATCCAAAGTTATTGACATTTTAAAAATCATAAAAAATCGTTTTTTGCTCATAACTTTAAAAAAATGTTATGACACCTACAGTTTTTTTAGTTTCATTTTGTAGAGATTTTCAAGACGCATCTTTTGACCTATTAACGAACATTTTACGATTACTTTATCCAAAGTTATTGACATTTTAAAAATAAATAATATTGATAAAAACCTGTTTGCATTTTTTGTTCAAAAATCTTTATGTATCTGTAAAATCATTATAATTAGAGTAGAAAGCTTTTTTTTTTATAAATAAATATAAATAAAAAATCGTAAACTGATCGCAAAATATCTCCATGAGGAAGCAAAGTGTTCATGGAATGAACACAAAAATACATACTTCAACTTGGCAGCGGTTTTAATATTCTTTGTCGAATAACAAAATTTTTAGTGAATTTCAAAAGAAACTATTTTTAAAAAAAAGATATTCTTTATAAAAGGAGATTTTTTCAGAAAGAATTTTTTTTTTTTTTTTTTAATGAATATTTGTAAAAAAATTTGACATATTTGAAAAAGAAACCTAAATAAAATTTTGGTGTTAATTAGAAATGTTATTTGATAAGAGGACAAATGTCAGCAATTACCATTGTTGGGGGTGGCGGTGGTGGGGGAGGTGGTGGTGGAATTGTCGTAGGTGCTTCTGTTGCTGGTGCATCCGTACTTGGCATTTCTACCATTGTTGGCATTTCCGGCATCGATGCCCAGGGATTTATGCTTGGAGAAATTGGAGCAGCATCCCAAGCAATACCAGCTCCATTGTTTTCTAAGAAATTGATAAAAAAAAATATTTTTTTGTTTTATTTTAAAATTATAATTTAATTTTCACTATATTTTTTTAGTAAGTACAATTATTGCTAATTATATTTTTTATTATTATAACAAATATTTTGTTTAAACTACTCTATTCTAATTTGAAATAGAAAAAACTACTTTAATTTAAAAAAGGTAATATTTTACATTATAAAAGTCGAAATAAGACGTTTTTAAAAAAAAGTCAAAAATATTATACACTCCGTCCCCTGTAAATATTTAACTATTTCAGTAAATATTTTAACTGTTTCTATATGATAAATTGTTTTCTGTATTCCCTGATAGTACTCGGATATTCAGGATATCCTGAATATCCGGATGCTGTGAGAGTTTCTCTAGTTGTAAATGATTTACAAATATTAAAAGCATATGTGATTGTTTGGTCACATGATTGTCACAATGTTAATTTGTCGGACACATTTCTCGTAAAATACACAAAATAAATTGAGCTAGAATTTCATAGTGAAATTGTTATAAAATATACATGAGGATGGATTGTTGTGAGTGAAAATTGTTTATACACTGAAAAAATAAAATTATTTCATTCAAATAATAATCGTTTACTTGACTCTTATTAAATAAATATTTCTTTAAAAACAAATAATTTTTATTTGAGTCAATTAAATTTTTTTTCTTTTAAATACAGAAATTATTGGTTTCAATTGATAAAATTTATTGATAAATTAGTGAATTGAATTTAATTAAAAATTATTTTATAATACAAATAAATATTTATATATATTTGATAATAGTCAAGTATAACAGATTATTTGAATTAAATTAATTTTTTTTTCCAGTGTATTTTATTGACATTATTATTAAAAAATATTTTTAAATTTTTTGAAAATTAAAAAAACACAGAAAATTAAAAGGCATTAAAATAAGCTGCAACGCTTATTATTTTAATGTCTTTTAATTTTTTGTGAATGACTGCACATTTTAATCCACAATTCGTTCACTAATTTAAATTAGTGAAAATTTCGACTAATTTTTCACTAAAACATAAGTAAAAACAATATTACTAAATCAAATAGTAATATTTTACAAAAAAAAAAATTAGTGAAAAATTTTCTTATTTAAATGAGTGAACAAATTCTCATTAATTCAAATTTGTTTTAAAAAAAATTTGAATTGATAACTAACCAGCACTTAAATGATTAGACTCATCGGATAAAAAGAATTCTGGTGGTAGACTTAAAGTTTTTTCAGCCCAAGGTCCAGGGTATGGTATTGAAGGTTTGGAACATGGCATCGCCATTGGTGGAGTTGGTTCAGGCATTGCTGCTGGTGCCATTGTTGCTGCAGGCGCTGGCATCGCTGCTGGCGCCACCATTGGTGCAGGTGCCGCCATTGCTGCTGGCGCCATCATTGCAACAGGTTCAGGCATTGCTGGTGCATCAGGAGCTTTTGCAGGTGGTGAGTCACGAATAATAATCGATGATCCATGAATTATTGGTATTTTGTCACCAATAATTATCGTTGGCTTACGAAGAATCGATGGTAGTTCACGAATTATTGACGGTAGTTCAATATCAATTTCAGGTGGAAATGATATTGTTGGTTTTGATTTTATAATCATTGGCGGCTCGTCCATCATTATTTCTGCTTTCATAAAAGGTGGCAATGAATCCCAAGGTGGTGATCGACGCGTTTTAAAACTTTGTACTCCATAATGCTGTGGATACGATCGAAAAGGTCTTCGATGTTGGGGTGATCTTTGAAATCGTACGTCTCGGTAACCATTGACGACCACCAGTGTCGCCACTAATAGCACCTGGGATTTTTTTTTTTTTTAATTTTTTGTTGTTGTTGCAGATCACAATATTAATCATTCGAAAAGTGAACAAAAGTAAAATAGAAATCAAAAATAAATACAAAATGTGTAAAAAATTATTAAAAAAATAGAAATAAAATTAAGTTTTTAATGAAATTTAAATAAGTAACAACAATGAAAATAACTAAAATATTAACTAAAAATAATTAACAGAAGAGAATTTTATAAATTAGTGTAAATATGTAACTAACCAAGATCTTCATTTGATTTATATACTCCCAGACAGGAAGAAAAAGGGCACTCGCGAGTATTAAAACGATTTGATTTCGATCACTATGTGACAGACTTTTATATAGCTATCTGGAAATCTATACATTTTTCTCCTTCTCTTAAATTATAGCCAGATAAAGTCAGGACATTTCAACCTTTCTCCTCTTATGTCGTCGAGTCGTCTCTCACCTTGCTACCAGTTACCATAATGAAAAAAAAGTTGTATTTTTCTAAAAACTACTTGAATTCCATAGTTTAATTGCAAATTAAAAGCTATCACCCAAGTTCATTATTGCACATTTTTCTTTTAATATTTATACAGTCATTTCAAAGTGTTACATAACATTTTCTTCAATAGGTATACCTCTCTGTATATTTAAGTTACAACCTTTGAGTTATATAACAATAAATTATCATTTTTACGGCTAATAAATACACAGACTGAAGTAAAGTGAACTGCTTCTACGCGATATTTCTAAAAGAGAGTTAATAAATATTTTTATGAATGACAAGTCATATAGTTCAACTTGAATTTCTTTTTTTTCCTATAACTAACATAAAATCACATAAGAAATGCAAAATTATTCTAATAATATAAAGACTTTTAAAAATATATACATAATAGCTTATAGGTTGTCCGTATTTTTTTTTTTGAAAAAAATGAAACAAAAATTATATTAGATAATAAAAACTTTTTGATTTCACATTTTTAATCCAAAAAATTGTGACAAAATAATTTTAATGAATTTAAAAAAAAGTATTCTTTGTACTTTTATAAGATTTTTTAAGGTTTAAGTTAAAAGTACTAATTAGCATTATTTCTAATTATTTATTTAATTTATTTATAAATTACAATTTTTCTACCTAATATAGGGTAGAAGTACCGTTTATGGCCTCTGCACCGATTTTGTAGACACTTTAGGATTAATGTTTGTATTATTAAATTCCCTAAAGTAACTATACATAACATTTATAGGGACATTTATAGAATTCTGACATAATTTGTCAACACTGTTGTCACTTGCTTTTAACAGCAGTTGAGTTGGTTTAATTAAAAACCATACTTATCTTTCAATGTTGCTAAATCAATACAAGTTTCAAGAATTTTTAGTAATGAACGTAAATGAACTGAAAAGTAAATAATTATTATTCAAAAATAGTAGCAATATTTTTATACATTTTCTCTTCCATATGTAAAGGATAAATTACTATATAAAGACATTGATTTTAAAAGAATAACCTCAAATATTTAAAAAAACCATGGCTAACAATAAGTGTGGTGCGGCAATTATATAAAAACGCCACTATTTGGCCATTCTATTTTGTAAGTTAAATTGACATGGTTTTAGTTTGGTAATTCGTAGGTAGCTGTCACGTTATAATTTTTATAATAAATAAATTTATTCTAAACAATAAATTATCGCATGCTATTTATTTGTTTTATTTATAAATTAATTGTATTCGATTGATGAAATCAAATTAATTATTTGTTATTAAATATAATAAACTCTAATTATTTATAACAATTTTTCAAATAGTGAACAAAACTAGGTCAAAGGTGGCCCACAAGTGGTGATTCAGTGGCCACAACTGGTAAAAAGGTCGTTTAAAGCAATTTAATATTTTTGAAATAATAAATATAGGAGAAAAATATTTTTGATTACACAGGTCAACATGAAATTTGCGCCTGACATTTAAGATGTTCTGTATGCTAGATTTATCAACAGATATGAGGGAAAAAATTATATTTTGTCAAAATTTTTGAAAATTTATTATTTTAAGCAATTTCTTACAAAACAGTGCGAAAAAGTTTAAAAGTGAACTCTGTTACTGTTTGTGTTATTTTATTGAAAACACTGATACATATTTCTTGACATGCGTGCGTTGGTGGTATCTATGGGTGTTTTCGACGTTGGCACTCTGAGCGCTCTGAGAGCTTGAAAAGGTTCTAAACCACATTTTATTATTTTAGTCTATTTAACCTAATTTAACCTAACCTAATCCAATGCAATCTTCTCATTACGCTTTCAAGACCGGTGAAGACCACGCTGTTGCATCATGGAGGAAAGAATAATTTTAAATGGTTTAGTTTTAAAGAACAATAAAACATTATTCAAAAATAATGGTCGCATTTCATGCGACGTAACGAACGTTGATATGAGTAAGTATTAATTTTAATGTAATATTTATATTTTTTATTTATTTTATTTATTTTATTTATATTTCAACAAGATTTTGTACAATTCCTATAGCGTTAACGTAATTGACTTCAGGGTTTAAATTTGCCATTTTTGAAAATTTTCCGTTATTTACTTTCGCACTCAGAAAATACGCTCGGTTTATTAAACAAGATTGAGAAACCAGAGCACGAGCACAGCCCGAACGCATCCAATTTCAAATAAAGCATGCAAATAACACACCCTTTTTTGTGCACATCACCTAAAACTGCAGCCCGTATCACAAACATGTCACTTTTCGCATGCTTTAGCCAATCATAATAAGTTATGGCTAATCATAATTTTTAATATTGGTTGAGAACCACTTAACACTTTCAGAACACTCAGAGCGTCGACGTCGAAAACACTCTATGTGAATCTTTCGCCACCTATGGGGATGTATGAGTACTTGTCATCAACTTATTCCGACAAATCTTGGCACCACTTTAATGAAGTACATGCATGGGAGATTGGTCTCCTGTATACACGGAGAGAAAAATCAAGTTGCGCTTACTGGAGACTCTCAAGTAAATATACAGGAGCTTTAGCAAAGCTATCCCAGCAAACACGTTCTATAAATGTTCTATAACAGTGATGTCACAGTTTTACAGAACAGTTGTTACAAGTTGGTTACGAATCTGTTATATAACCTCATTGTCATTGAATTCTAGAACATTGTTACAAAAGAGTGACAGAACTGTTCTATATTATGATAACGTCACAGTTCTATAACAATGTTATGTAACATGTCTATAACACGACAGTCACAAATGATCTGCAAGTGATGTTCCAACGTAGTTCTAGAACTGTGTCGGAACAATGTTATGTAGCTGTCCTTGTCTTAAATATATATAAAGTATATAATATAATAATAATAATATATAAAGTCAAATCAAATTAACTCGATATAAACATTTACATTTAATTTTTTAATGACATAAGAATGTGTTAAATATAAATTATATAACTTAATAACAACTTTATTATGCACCACAATAGTACAGGTTGTCCTAAAATTTTAGGGATGTCTGGATATCTCGTAATAATAGCCTTTTTGACAAAAAAATTTAAAAATTTGTTCAGAATAGCAAAATATGTTAAAATGTGCAATTTGATTTTGTTATTCTGAACAATCTTTCATTTAAGTTTCTTTTTCTCAAAAATAAGAGCGTTACAAAATACCCAAATGTCTTGGAAATTTCGGGACAACATGTATAACAACACTAGATCGTTGTTACATTCACAGAAAACTAAAAGGTATTAAAATAAGCTGCAACGCTTCTTATTTTAATCCATTTTGGTATTAAAATAAGTTACTGTTCTTCTCATTTAAAGAACTATGATACATATTCATACTGAAACAATGTTATGTCACAAATATAGATTTTTGTTCCTACACTGTGATACGTTTACGTAACACATATATATATATAGAGGCATTCTTTGTCAACGCGGACACCCCTCTCGCCCAAATTCTTTTCATTTTAAATTAATGTTTAATGGCTTAAATTTTAGTTAAAGGAATATACTTTTGAAATCTGAGTGGCAAATATCCAAAAACAAAATATAGGATCCAATATAAAGGTTATTCTTTAAATTTACCAATAAAAAGTTACTCTAATTCATTTTGAACAATCCAAAAAGTAATGCTTGAGGCCTTTTTAGCCCTTTGTATTTGGAAATATGCCACTCAGATTTCAAAAGTATATTCCTTTAACTAAAATTTAAGCCATTAAACATGAATTTAAAATGAAAAGAATTTGGGCGAGAGGGGGGTGTCCGCGTTGACAAAAAATGCCTCATAATATTTTTTTTATCCCTGTTACGTAATTTAGTTATGTAACAAATACAGAACTCTGTTCCTTACTGGTTACATACCACTTTTCATAGTTGTTACAACACAGTTCTAGAACTGTTACAAATGACTTTGTAACCGCGTTCTAGATTTGTTACATATCTGAACATACCTGCTGAGTACGACGTTTTGCGTAACCAGTGACTCACACGTTCTTAACCAGTTACAGAACATGTTCTCAAGAAATTTGTAACAGTTCTAGAACAGATATATAACAGTGTTTGCTGGGATAGCGCTACGCGAGATCCAAGTAGTTTTAACTTGGGTCTGCAGTAAAATCCACATTGCCATATAATGTTAATTTAACCGACCAAGTGGTTCCTCATTATTGCCTGTCATCACATATGACTCTCGTCTATTTATATATCCTTTCTTAAAAAAGATATTGAGGCATGCGCTCGAAATAAGGAATCGAAATAAGCAATCGAAATAAGATTTTTTTTCCCATAAGAAAAACATGGAAGCATTCGCTCGAAATAAGAAATCGAAATAAGATATCGAAATAAGATATCGAAATAAGGAATTGAAATAAGGATAAACATTGAGAAAGTAAAATACAATAAAAAAGGCGACTTTCGTTTTTCGTTAACACTTAATTACACTTTATTAAAAACGTAAATATAAATATTACTATTTCACTAATAATGAGAATTATTAAAATCTGACTGAAAGAAGTTTCTGTGATTCTAATGACGTAAAGAAACATAACCTACTAAATTGAAATCACTCGATTGGCTGCAAACAATTGCGCGCGTTTATTTTGAAATGTATAATTCAACTTAATATATTTTCCTACAAGAAAAAAGACATTGAATATATAAAAAAAAATTTATTTATTTAAGTAGCAAAATTTCAATTTTTTAATGATGTTAATAATTTCAAATAATATTCCTATTTAATCAAAATTAAAAACATGATATATAAATAAAATTAAACATGAAACAGTTAATATATTTTAATGTTTTAAAAATAAAATAATCATATTATTTTGTTAGAAAAATATTTTTTAGTTTTTTTTATTTAAATTGTTAAATTAAAAAAAACTGTTAAAATTCGATTAGATAAATTT